TTCAGATTCTTATTGTCTGTTGTCGTTTTATCTTGTCTCCACTCTCGTCAATTAATATTTATTTTCAACTTCTAGCCAACTGCAGATCAGCATCCACTGGGTAGAATTATTATTTTGATGCATCCCTAAAATAAGTTAGTGAAGCTCTCTGTGCTATGGATATTAAATATACTATACAATAACAATACTATAATGTACAATAATAACAATTTATTGGTTTATTGTGCACCCCTATCTTTTACTTTAATGTCTAGTCATAATCAACACTCGAGTGTTTGGAAAACATTCTTTAATTCACTACTTACAAAACGGCTGTAGTTTAGTGTAAGAGCGTTCACATGACTAAATTCTTCTTAAATGTGTTTTAACACCCCTCCCTGCTTAAACAATTTACAATATCTTTTTGTGCTGCAACTTTTATAATATTAAAATTTGTAATTTAGGAAATTATTTTACAGTGATGAAAGTTTAACACACTACAATCATGTTGAATACACTAATATATTTAAATATAATATGTTTAAATATAAAATTTCATATATATATATATATATATATATATATATATATATATATATATATATATATATATATATATATATATATAGAGCAATATCACACAAGTAGCAGTGCGATATGGCTGTATATCGGCACTGGTTGGAGGCGTGCGTTGGCATGAGATCGCAGGCCGAGTGCCTTAGTGCCCCCACCAGTTCCGATATACAGCCATATTACACTGCTACGACTGTGATGTTGTGTTTATACAACAGTTTGACGGCATTATTGTCTATATAAAAACAAAGTCAAACATGGAGAGTCTCAGAAACCCTTTTGTATGAGGAACTACTTTCTTCCGCGTTGGATTCAAATCATAAGCTGACAGTTAAATAGCTAAGCAAGCATCTTTTAAAGATTCTAACGACACTTTAGATCTAAGAAGGAGTGCCAAGTTACTTCATAGCTCAATATGTTTGAGGTCGATATTGAGGTCTTTTTCAGCCAACCATGTCTTTAAACAATTTACGGCCCATACAGTTTGCCGCACAGTGTTGTATTCATGCCGATTTTTTTCTAAATAGTCCAAGTCTGCTGATGTAACGGCTACACTTTTTGCAGTTTTCTCCGTTGATGTCGTCTTTTTATCTTCATCTTCATCTGATGGGCTTTCATAGCTAATATCGAAGGATACACAGTGGCGTAGTGGATGGGCGCGCAGGGCACGCACCACAGGGGGGCCCCGCGTGATTAGGGGGCCCCGTGTCGTAGCGATTATCAATAATTGAAAATCCGGCAACCGCAATAATCAAACCCCTGGGAGCAACTGTGGTCAGAACCAAAGTTCACAGGTCTGTGTTCTCTGAACTCCTCTGAAATGGTGGACTACTTCATTCTGATTGCCTGCTGCCGAATCACGTCATAGCTCATTACCATAAAGATGACTTGATTTTAAGTCCTCCTCGACGCCCACACCAGAGAAGACGTGCCGCGCTGCTCCTCGCCACCGGTTCTCATTGAAAATGAATGACTTCCGGCTACTTTGACGCTCTCGCCACTTGTTTGTGAACGGTACCCCGCGTCGTCGCTCCACCCCACCCCCCTTTCCCGCTCCTTAGTTTGTTATCGCTCCTCAGTTTGTGAAGGCTTCCCCGCGTTGTCACTCCACCCCGCCCCCCTTTCCCGCTCCTCAATTTATGATCGCTTCCTCGCGTTATCACTCCACCGACTCTCCCTGTCCCCTCAGTTTGTGATCGCTCCAAATATATATATATATATATATATATATATATATATATATATATATATATATATATATATATTTGTGTATATATAAATATATATTTGTGTTTTTATTTAAAAGATACATTCATTCATTCATTCATTTATTTATACATTTATAATATATATATATATATATATATATATATATATATATATATATATATATATATATATATATATATATATATATTCTCTAATTGATGATATGTAAAAAGTGTTTAATCTTTTAGTGTTTTCTTTGTCTATCTACATTACAATATTGAGAACATTTGAATTGGAATTGTTTGAATAATTAATTTAGGATATATTGTTTTGTTTGTAAGTACTTGCATTGCTAGCATTGTGAGTAAACAATGTAATTATACAGTGTTCAGCACATATATATATACAAGTACAACCCTCTCTAATCTCTCTTTTAAATTCATATTTATAATAGGAAGCTGTGCAATATTATATTTACTGAAGCCAAATCTGGAGCTTATCTAACAAAATAACTTACGATAACGATCCAAAAACTAGTATAGCCAAATTTATATGTTATAGAAAAATATTAAATACAAATTTAAAGAAGAGGAAAAATCAAGGAAAAAAATCTAAGTAGTTTGTTGAAATTATGTAAGTTGTAATTTATTTTTGCAATATTTTGGTTAAATTTTTTTGTATTTTCTTTCATTTTCTAAATGTGTTTGGTGACTAAAATATTATTTTAATAAATATATCTGTTTAATAAATTTATTTTGTTTAAATGCACCAAAATACATTGCCTATATTCACTGAGAAATGGAGAAAAATATTCATTTTCAAAATGGGCTGTACTCAATTATACTGAGCACTGTATATAGCTTTCATATTTTACTGAAAATGAGTTTTGTTGTTTACACACAACATCTTTTTACCCATTATCATTATTATTATTTTTTATCGTGGCTATTTTACTGAGTTAAAAGATGAATTAAATCAAGGTGTAAAACACTGTTTATGACAGGTCCATAAAGATGTATGATTTCCACAGAATGGACATGCCCATCATTCATTAAATTCTGCTCATGCTTCTTCCACACAGAAATATTTCTATCTGATTTGACCAAAGCACACACACCCGCTTCAGTTTTACTCATTTCACCGTAATTCCTACCTAACCACAACTTAAATGTTGGTTTACAGAGGGTTTAGCATGCCATTTTCCGTGACTTCTAAAGTAAATAAAAGAACAATAATCAATATCAAACCCAGATATCCATTGCAGCACGATTCAACGGCTTGTTTTGTTTGACGTTTTCATCTTAAATATTAAGTTTTTTCCCTTCATATTTAAGTGAGAAGGTACCAGCTCACAGTTAGAGAGAGGGTGGTGCAAGTACTAGTAATATCCAGTCATCCAGTGCTTGTTAACTGGGGAAGTTGTCTGGACAAGCTCATGCCGGATCAAGCCGAGTCTTGCTGTTAGTGGAAATCTTAGACTTTTGAGAGACTCAAAGCTTTGACTCTAATGGATGTCAGATGAAAATGATTTCAGTCACATGTAGTTGAAATTATTAGCCCTTTTTTCTTATTCAAATATTTCCCAAATGATGTTTATCAGAGCAAGGAATTTTTCACAGTATGTCTGATAATATTTTTTCTTCTGGAGAAAGTCTTATTTGTTTTATTTCGGCTAGAATAAAAGCAGTTTTACATTTAAAAAAAAAAAAACATTTTAAGGTCAATATTATTATCCCCCTTTAGCTATATTTTTTCCAGTTGTCTACAGGGCAAACTATTGTTATACAGTGAGTTGCTTAATTACCCTAACTTGCCTAACTAACCTAGTTAAGCCTTTAAATGTTAGTTTAAGCTGAATATAGTGTCTTGAAAAATATCTAGTCATATATTAATTATTGTCAACATGGCAAAGATAAAATAAATAAGTTTTTAGAAATGAGCTGATGTGTTGAAAAAAAAATCACTCTGTTAAACCCTTAGATAAGCAGATAAGCAATATGGTGTTACTATAACTTCAATGGTAATTCTTTGGTACTTTGACATACACTACCAGTCCAATGTTAGTTTTGTAGACTGGCACTATGCATTAATTACTAATTTCTAAATAATTAAACTGCTATTTGAAGAAAACAACTTTGCATATAGCTTTGTTTTACTTAATGTTACCTAAAGTTTATGCCCTCTATATTATCATGTATAATATTTGTGTTTCTTCCGAAATCTGACAAAGTACTTTATTTAATCTTAAGTTTTATTTATTTATTCATAATTTTATTTCATGCTTACAAAATGTTTTACACTGACAAAATAAATTTTTAATTAAAAAAAAATATATGCTGTTTTATATTGGCATTGGCTTATGTTTTTATAATAATAATAATAATAGTAATAATAATAATAATAATGTAGTTAAATATCTAAATAAACTGATCATATAAAAACTAAAGAATAAGGCTGAAGAATACTTAACAATACTGTCCATTTTTTTGTAATAATTTTTTTAAATATTTATTTTTCATAAAATAAAGTATTTGTATCCTGTTATTTTTTTACAGGTTTTATTTTTGTAATTGAATTAAATTGAATTTTTAATTTTTTAATTTTTTTATTTTGTGTAATAGTGGTTTTATCAGTTCGTATCCAAAAATTATTTATTTAACATTTTTTATAATAAAAAAATGTAGTTAAATATCTAAATCATCTGATCAATTTAAACCTAAATATTAAGCTGAAGAATACCCAAAACAATACTACTGTCCAATACCTTTTTTTGTAATTTTTAAAGTATTTATTTTATAAAGTATTTTATATTGTTAGAAATTTGTTAGAAGTTTTTATTTTCTAATTTTTGAAATTTAATTTAATTTAATTTAATGTAATTTAACTTAACTTAATTATTTTATTTTATTTTTAATTTTATTTTATTATATTATATGTAATAAAAAAAACATTTATTTTATTTTATTTTATTTTATTTTATTTTACACTGTGGTGGTTTTACCATAGTGCATATCCAAAAATAATTCACTAAACATCTCCAAAAAAACAAAACAAAATGTACCATGGTGCTGTTGTATTAGTGGGCTCTGGGATGGAAAACCCGGTTTCTTTCTTCTATTTATTTCATGATTTTTGACCAGATTTCCCAACTCTCTCTTCTCTCTTATGTAACTTGTGTTTTGGCTTGAAGCACATTTTTGAGCTCAAAGTGAGGTATCTGTTCATGCTTTGCTCTGCAGACGTCTCGTGTTCAGCCAATGGGAGAGGAATCAAAAAAGAGGACGACGGCTCATTTCCAGTGAAGATTCAGGGTGCAGGCGTCGAACCCTTCGAGCTGCAGGTCAGATTTATTGCTCTTTATCACTCAATCCCTGTAGGAAATAAGTTGGTGGAACAATAGTTACACTGGAAAGCTCCAAACAATAACAACTTGAATTGGTGTAGCCTCAAATTTAGCATTCTAGATTGTGTTTAGCAATGCAAATATACTGGAACATGGCTGTCATCAGATCATGCAAATATTAATGAATGTTGGATTAAAGGTATAGTTCACCCAAAGAGTACACTATTTACTTGCCCTCAAATGATTTTAAACCTTGATGAGTTTCTTATGTTGAATACAAAAGAAGATACTTTGTAGAAAGTTGGAAACCTGTAACTATTGACTTCCACATTAGGAAAAAAATGCTATGCAAGTCGGTGGTCACCAGTTTTTAGCTTTCTTCTATAGATGTGTTCAATAGCTAAAGAGTTTATAACAGGTTTGGAACAAGTGAGGGGAGAGTAAATGATGACAGAATATTAATTTTGGGGTGAACTGTCCCTTTAATGCAATGGTTGCCAGGCTTTTTCTGCTAGGCTGCTCTTTTGTAGAGGAAAATGTTTTCAAGCCACAAACCCCACTTACATTATGATAAATAAATGAAAAAAATAAGATAAACAAAGGTGACACGATGGTGCAGTCATGTGGTAGAGGTGTATTGAGTATGCAAAAAAAATTGACCGTAGTGTATGAGTGTGTGTGTGTTGGGTTGCTGCTGGAAGGGCATCTCCTGCGTGAAACATATGCTGAATAAGTTGGCGGTTCATTCCGCTGTGGCGACCCCAGATTAATAAATGGACTAAGCCAAAAAAAAATGAATGAATGAATGAGTTTGGCTGGATTAACTAGTTAACTCTCTCCATTTCCTGATCTTTCAGAATGAAACGCTTACTTTACTACATCCAGTCAGCTTGCAGTATAAAAATCAAGCCACGCCCACTTTTTTCTCATATAATATTCCATTTTTATTCCATGTGCAGGTTCATGGGTTCTGGCTGGTCCAGGATGCCATTATGAGTGTTTTGGGCAGAGAAGAGGTGGCGCCACGCTCGTCTGTGGCTTTGGCCCTTTCAGGAGTAACTCTTGACCCCATGATGGAGCTCCAGGACATCAAAGGCTTCAAAGCTGGAGTTACTCTTCGTCTAGTGGAAGGTAAACTGGAGGAGCTCTACTTTAGTTCATTTCTAATGGGGGATATGCGCAAGGACTTTTCATTTTCAGTCAGCCAGCTCAAACGCTTCTTAAGGACTGTTATACTGTTACAAAATCGATATTGATTAAGATCTGATTTCTTTCAAAGCAACCTTCTTCACTGCCTGATTGATATACAATATATAGTGGGTCTTAGAACGTACAAGAAGCACTGCATTCATTTCCATTGTTTTGTGCCAGGTCTTTAAAATATGGAAATGTATTTTACTACAGTATTTTCAATGGAGTCTCTGCTCTCATCTGCTACTGCTGCTGACGACGCTTACATTTAGACAGTCTTTCATCTTTTTTTACGCTTGAACAACAAAATGAATATATATATATATATATATATATATATATATATATATATATATATATATATATATATAAATATATATATATATATATATATAAACACTAGGGTTTTAACACAGTTGTGTGGAGTTTAAACACAGTTCTGCTGCAATGCTGCCACTGTAAAAAATTATGGACGTAGTATCCATGACGTCACCCATCACAAATGAAGCTACAAGTGTGCATGGCCAACGGTCGCCATGTAGAACGAGGGTAACGGAAAAAGGGCAAAGAGGTGAAGTGAGCGGAGCTAGCATTTTGCTTAGACGACTTTTCTTTGGGAGAAACGCGCAATATTGCATTACCTGCACCTCATTTGTGTTCTGACCACATGTGCTTATTTGCATTACTATATTAATAAAGTGTTTAGTCTTTTAAAACACTTCTGTAAATCATTGTGTTAGTAAATGCAAGGCTGTTTATAAAAATCCAGGCATAACACTGTATGACGATCCAGATTACTTCTAGTGGCTACAGCTAATCAATCTGTCAGATTCTGGAGCGCATTGCAGGTCTAAAGAAAAATATAAGTAAATATAAGTTAAACAAAAACATTTATAGAGATGGTGTATAAGTGTATCATTTCACTCACCTAGGAAATGGAGGCCACTTGAATGGTTTGTGAGCACAATTAGGTGCACACAGCATGCCATGTCATCTGATAATTGTTGGAATAATTTACAAAAGACAACTGACTGTGTAAAGCCGCATAAAACAACACAAAAATACAGTGGCTAGAGTTCAGCGGCTAATCAGCCGGAATCAGCTGAAGTGACGTGACTGTGAGCAGCAAGACATAACTATTACTCAAGTAGTCTTGCCCTTAATTATGCAGACTTAATATAACTTAATGTAAACATTTTTTTTCTGCTGTAAAGCTGGCCATTTTAACAGTGGGGTCATAAGAAATGTGCTTTAGGATGGAGCCAGTGGAATTTTGATGAATTGCAGTTTCATTTACGTCCGTATTAGCTTCACAAGGGAGAGCGGGAAGTTGCTGCTTGACTGACACAGGCATTTGTAGCTCTGCTTTTTTTTTTTTTTTTAAAGAGCACAATCTCATTTGAATTTAAAGTGACAATCACCAAAATGGCACTATTAGGATCCTGAAAGCCTGAAAGGTTCAGTTTTTAAAGACATTAAAACATTATATGTGTGCTATTTTGAGCTGAAACTCCACATACACACTGTAGGGACATCAGAAACTTATCTTACACTTAGTGAAAAGGTGTCCCCTTTAAAATCTGAAATCTAGCTTGACCAGTTAATACTGGTAAAAATTGCTTGTTTCAAGGAATCATAAGATTGTAAATACATAAGAATCCATAAGATTGTAAACATTTATGCAAACCGTTGCATTAATTTATTTTGATCAATAATATTTTCTTTACTCTTTTAAATCATTGAATCAACTGCAAAATATGATCATAGTCTTGTAAAATGCCATGATTACCCTCAATTAAGTGTTGTTCTAAATATGCCTGACAATATTTAATTTATGCTTTATAAATATTGCCACACTGAATTACATTTTAGTAGGGGTCTAAATTTAATAGGAAAAAGTATGATTTGCTCAGGAAAAGATCAAATTAAACAGGAAACATTTTGATGTTGTTCATTGTTAGTTCATGTTAACTCATGGCGCATTGACTAATGTTAACAAGCATGACTTTGGATGTTAATAATGCATTAGTAAATATTGAACCATGATTAATTAATAAATGCTGTTCAAATATTGTTCATGTTAGTAAATACATTAACTAATGAAACTTTTTTGTAAAACATGACCAACGTTTATTCAAATAAATGTTAGTAGTTTTAATTTACGCTAACAAAAACATTGATCCAGTATCTTGCTTAACCGGGGTCATAAAATACAGGAAAGGGCGTGTACATTCATTGGTCAAAGTGTGTGAACCATGTGTTTTTTTAATGTCCTGGTCCAGCCCTTCCCCTCCACCTGCTTTTCCTTCATGACCAGACACCTCTTTCCAAAACCAGCTTGACCACCTGAAGCCAGTTTAACCAGCTGGTCGGGAGCGAGTTCTGGGTGGTCTTTCTGCCTGGCCAGGTTAAGCAGATCAACCATCTTAGAGCAGCAAATTACCAACTAGCAATAAACAGCAACCAGTCTGATCAGGTTTTAGAATAGAATAAAATAAAATAGAATAAAATAGAATAGAATAAAATAGAATAGAACAGAACAGAATAGAATAGAACAGAACAGAATAGAACAGAATAGAATAGAATAGAATAGAATAGAATAGAATAGAATAGAATAGAATAGAATACTTACAGCAGGGAAAATAAATCTTGAACACGTCACAATTTTTCTCAGAAAACATATTTCTAAAGGTGCTGTTGACTTGAAATTTTCAGCAGATGTTGGTAACAACCAAAGAGATCCAAATCTTCTTCTTCTTCTTTGGGCTTAGTCCCGTATGGTTGTGGGGTCGGCTCTTTGGAACAAGCCATTTTAGACTTGTCCATATGATAACGACATTTTTACACATTCCGGCCGGCCTGTCGTCTGGGCCTGTCACCCTCAAACACTCATACACTACGGTCAATTTAGCCTACTCAATTCACCTGCAGCATGTCTTTTGCACTGTGGGGGAAACCGGAGCACCCGGAAGGCAGGGAGAACATGCAAACTCCTCACAGAAATGCCAACTGAGCCGAGGTTCGAACCAGCGACCCAGCGACCTTCTTGCTGTGAGGCGACAGCACTACCTACTGCGCCACTGCCTCGCCCAACCACAGAAATCCAAATATGCAAAGAAAACAAATCTAATTACTTTACAAATTATGCATATTAAAATGAAATTACGCAGGGAAAAAGTATTGAACACATAAAGAAAGGGAGGTGTAGAAAGGCAAGGAAAGCCCAGACAGCAGCTGAAATCTCTCAGTAGTTCTTCAGCAACCCTCTGCCCTTCCTCAGTGTAAATGAATATCAGCTGCTTCAGTCCAACATCTGATTTAGGATTTAGGTGTTTCTACTAGGGTTCAGTTACTGCTCTCTTGTTAAAGTACTCAACAAATGGATCCCATGTGATATTAACTGAAAAAGTGCAATCCAATAATCAACAATTTTAGGACAACTCCAAAACATGTGTCCAAGCGATGCTGGAGTTTGACTGCATCTATCAGACAGTGGGTCTACAGAGGGGAACATCTTAGACAGCTTTAATTTAGACAGGTGAAGTCGGTGCAGGATCTTAAACTGTATTGAATCATGCCTGATGCACACAGAACTAGAATGAACTTGTTCTTGTGCTTCCTCCCATTGCCAACTTTCAATTTCTGCTCCAAGATCCTCTTCCCATGCCATTTTCAGATGCTCTAACGAAACATCACATTCTAACTGTGACCATTTTTGAGATTTGTTTTTAAGGTATACCTATTTTATAGGTTGTTTTCAATCACGTGGTTCTAATGACGCTCGAAATTCAGACGGAGGGCAGGAAGAAAAAACTGAATGGGAGATGTAAAGGAGTATTCTTGCAATTTATACCATATTTCAAAGGAGATATAAATAGAAAATAGCCACATATGTTGGGCATGATCTTTATATCATGAGGAGGGCAGAGTTTTCTACTGAACTCAAATATAGCTGCCTGTCATCGAGGCGTTATATACTGTATGATTATGTTACATGAAAAATACTACAGTGTTTGGTAGCATACTATAGATAATTACTTAAATTATACTGTTGTATTAATTATATTGTTGCTGTGGTATGACAAAACTAGTAATAAACAAATGATTTAGTAGGCTTCAGTTTTGTGAGGAAAGGATGGAGCGTGAGATTGACAGGCGGATTGGTTCAGCGGCAGCAGTCATGCGGTTGATGTATCAGTCCGTTGTGGTAAAGAAGGAAAGGCAAAGCTCTCGATTTACCGGTCAATCTACGTTCTTACTCTCACCTATGCTCATGACCGAAAGGACAAAATCTCAGATACAAGTGGCCGATATGAGTATCCGCGGAGTCTTAAAACCATTGAAAAAGTCTTAAATTTGATAATCTCAAATTAAGGCCTAATAGCCTTGAATTTGTTAAAGTCTTGGATTTCATTACAAAGGTCTTATTTTATTTATTTATTTTTGCCCTTCCTAGGATTAAAGTTCATACCAAAAATTACCAGTTACTAATGCAGGCTAATTATAAAAATTCATGCAGAGTAACGTTGAGTGCACCTCGCGCTCCACGTCATAGCAGACAGTGGGTTGCCATAGCTTGGCGAGGGAGATGAGCGCGAGTATTTACAATGCTCCAACTACTTAAAAACGCAGCAACTACTTTATTTGTTTATTAAAAATCAAATGTATAAAATAAAACTGACCATTTAAATAAAATGTTTTATTAAACTCAAGAGGTCACTTGTACATAATTATTCTCTCGGGTTCAAAATTTATACAGAATTTACATTTTCCCCTTCTGTCGAAATGGGTTCGAAATTGACATTGACTTTTATTTGAAATGGTATTAAAAGGGTCCTCAAAAGCCTTGAATTTCATTTGGAGGATCCCGGGGCTAGTTTATAGATAAGTTGAGGAGCTCTGTTAACCGGGAGGAGCTCAAAGTAGAGCCACTGCTTCTCCACATTGTGCAAAGTCAGCTGAGGTGGCACGAGCATCTGTTTCAGATGCCTTTTGGTTGCCTACCTAGGGTGAAGGAAGCCTCGGGGAAGACCCAGGACACGCTGGAGAAACCATGTCTCTCAGCTGGCCTGGGAACATCTTGGGCTTCCCCTGGTAGTCTGGGGTTCTCTCCTAAGACTGCCGACCCCGCGACCCGGCCCCTGAAAAGTGGATGAAAATAATTGAATGAATCTTCTTTTGTGCTCAGCAGAAGAAAGAACTCAAATGTTGAACAAGTGAGAGTAAATACACTTTCGGGTGAACTATCCCTTTAAAAATAACTGAAGTTGAGCAAAGACAAAGGAAAAAAATATATAATAGAAAAAGAAGGGTAAATAGCAAATATAATTATCGAGTTTAAAAATGCTACCATTTTAACAATAATTTCCACAGGTATCTGTTGAGGTTTAGCTGTACTTAACACAAAAGAAGATATTTTGAAGAATGCTGGTTGCTGGTACACATTGATTTCCACAGTAAAAATAAATAAATCCTATGGAAGTAAACGGGTGATATCGGGTTATAAAATATCTTCTTCTGTGCTCAACAAATGAAAGAACTCAGATTTTGAACAATTGAAGTGGGAGTAAATTCATTTTTGGGTGACCTATCCCTTAAAAAACAACTGGAGTTGAGCAAAGACAAAATAATAAAAATAGAAAAAGAAAGGTAAAATGAGCAAACATGACTATCAATTTTAAAAATGCAACCATTTTAGCAATCATTTCCACAGGGATCAGTTGGGGTTTTTAGCTGTACTGGTTTTGCAACTTCTTGATTTCACTGCAAAACCGTCTGATGGCAAACTAATGAGTCAAGTGAGTCACTTGGCCCTCATTATGAGCATTGTGGGAAAATGCACGATGTTATTGCTCATCGGATAAATCAAACGTGCACTTTCACGTTCGGTTTCAGCTGGAGAAAGGCCTGATTTCAACGTTAATAATGTGAGGTGTGTGTGTGTGTGTGTTTTATAGAGCCGTACTCTCCTCGGTCGGCACAGGCTCATCTGGCTCGTGTGCAGGAGTTGCTGAAAGCTGCCGGACCCCAAGATGCCCTACTGGAGGGCCGATCGCCTGCTGTACTGAACACACTCACACAAACGTCTGGTGAGAAAGCACTCGGAATAAATAATCCAAGGCATCTACTAAACACTGCTACTGAAATAAATGCATGTGCTAAAAAAAAAAAACGAACAAAAAAAAAAAACCCTTGAAGAATTGACTCGGAATTTGCTTGTAAATTATAGGATTAATTACACAAAAATTACAAGTTACACAATGAGATACATTTGCTTTAAAAAAAATATATATTTTGGAAAAACATTTTTAATTATTTTAACTAATTTAAATCTTTAATTTTATTATTAGTTATTAAAATTCATTTTTTTATTATTTAAATTAATTATTTTTTATTATTAATCATTAAACACATTTTTTTAATATTTAAACTAATTTAATTATTTATTTAAGTTATAAGTTATTAAACTAATTTTTTTGCCATTTAAACAATTTTTTTATTTAATTTAATTATTGACTATTAAACTCTTTTTATTATTTAAACTAATTTAATTGTTTAGTTTATTAACTATTAAGCTCATTTTTTATTTAAACTAATTATTTTATTTTTTATATAATTTATTATATTATTATATTATTTTTAATTATTCAAGCTAATTTAAATACTTTAAGTTTTAGTTGTTAAACTGATTTATTAATATTTAAACCAATTTAATCATTTAATTTAACTATTAAACTCACATTTTATTATTTACAGTAATTAAATTTTTTTATTTAATTATTAACTATCAAAATTTTTTATTGTTTAAACTAATTTAATTATTTGATATAATTATTAATTATTGAATTCATTCATTCATTTATTTTCTTGTTGGCTTAGTCCCTTTTTTAATCCGTGGTCGCCAAAGCGGAATGAACCACCAACTTATCCAGCAAGTTTTTACGCAGCGGATGCCCTTCCATCTTTGGGAAACATCCACACACACATTCACACACTCATACACCACTGACAATTTAGCCTACCCAGTTCACCTGCACCGCATGTCTCTGGACTGTGGGGGAAACTGGAGCACCCGGAGGAAACTCACGCGAACGCAGAGAGAACATGCAAACTCCACACAGAAACTCCACACAAAAACACCAACTGAGCCGAGGTTCAAACCAGCAACCCAGCGACCTTCTTGCTGTGAGGCGACAGCACTACCTACTGCGCCACTGCCTCGCCCACTTATTGAATTCATTTAATTAACTTAAACTAGTTTATATATTTGATTTAATTATTAATTTTATATATATATATATATACATATATATATACATATATATATACATATATATATATATATAAGTTGGTGGTTCATTCCGCTTTGGCGACCACGGATTAAAAAAGGGACTAAGCCAACAAGAAAATAAATGAATGAATGAATTCAATAATTAATAATTAAATCAAATAATTAAATTAGTTTAAACAATAAAAAATTTTGATAGTTAATAATTAAATAAAACAATTTAATTACTGTAAATAATAAAATGTGAGTTTAATAGTTAAATTAAATGATTAAATTGGTTTAAATATTAATAAATTAGTTTTATATATATATATATATATATATATATATAAGTAATTTAATTGATTTAATTCTTCTTTTTAATTATTTAAACTAATTAAAATATTTAATTTAATTATTATTAGTCTTATTTTTTAATTATTTAAACTAATTTAGTTATTTAAACTAACATTAATATAAAAGATAAATGTATCGATTTAATTTTACCCTTTATTTGATGATTTTTGTTAGCCTAATAATATTGATCTTTACACTAACCTAATATCAATAGACTAACCTAATATACTAACCAAATTTAAACGAAAAAAGTAGTGATTTAAAAATTTGCTTTGACCTTTATTTCATTGCAGACAATACAGCAAACATTATTTATAGTGTTCCTCATGATTTGTATTGCTTTTTTTCCTCAAAATAAACCCATTTTGGGGAAAAAAAGTTGGGACGAGCAATTCAGGGCAATTAATCAGATAAATTGGTTAAATGATGTGATTTGAGACAGGTGATGTCTACATAAATTTAATTATGATTTGCTCTAAAAGCAGCATCCATGAAAGGTCTAGTCCTTTATGAGCAAAGGTAGGCTGAGGATTCGCCAGTTCGTCAACAAATACGTGAGAAAATTATTGAAGTGTTTATAAACAAAGTTCCTCAAAGAAAGATAGGAAGTCATTTGGATATTTCACCTTCAATAGTGCAGAACATCATTAAAAGATTGAAGGATTCTGGAGGAATTTCAGTGCATAAAAGACAAGGGCGCAAGCCTAAGCTGAACAACCGTGAACTCCGACACTGCATCTGGCACTGCATCAAAAATCCTCATTCATCTATAAGCAATATCACTACATGGGCTCAGGAAGACTTTGGCAAACCTTTGTCAAGAACCACAATACGTATTTACATCCACAAATGCCAGTGAAAACTGTACTGTGCCAAAAGGAAGCCCTATGTTAACATGGTCCAGAAGCACCATCCGCTTCTCTGGGCTCGGAGGCATCTGGTATGGACTATCACTCAGTGCAAAGTGTACTCTGGTCAGACGAATAAATATTTCAGGTATTGTTTGGGAGAAATGGACGCCGTGTGCTTTGGATCAAAGAAGAAAAAGATCATCCAGACAATTCAAAAAGGCAGGTCATGGTGTGAGGTTGTGTCAGTGCCCTTGGCAAAAGTAACTTGCATTTCTGTGATGGCATGTTAATGCTAAAAAGAAGACCCCGTACTGTTTCCATCTTTAAGATTTGCAGGAAGAAAGGGACAAAATTACTCTTGAAATGTCTTATACCTTGGTGTCTTCAGTCTCTACATGTCCTGTAAGTGGTGTGAAAAAAGGGCAGCATTACAGAGTGGTAAACGCTTTACTGCTCCAACATTTTTTTAAATGTGTTTCAAGAACTAAAATTGGGATAAGTGTCTATTTTGAAAAAAAAAAATAATTTTAATAAATTTTAATAAATAAACATCATGAGGAACACAATAAATAATGTTTGCTGTATTGTCTGCAATGAAATACAAGTCAAAGTAAATTTAGAAGTCACTATTTTCTTTTTTTTATTTGCGATGTCCATAGTTGTAGTTTGCTGATGATCAAACTTTAATAAAAAGATTTCAAGTCTCAAGAAAATTGGTGCAAACTTGTTTTTCCAATTAATAATGATAGAGCAGTTATCTATCTATCTATCTATCTATCTATCTATCTATCTATCTATCTATCTATCTATCTATCTATCTATCTATCTATCTATTATTACTATTTTTATTTATTTATTTATAGCTTGACAAGAGCTGCCATTTTGCTGTGGTGAGATTAATGTCAGAGACAATCAACATTGCCTTTAAATAATTTAGCATGCATTAATTTTTTATGCCCATGGCAGTGAGACTATTTACATGTTTATATATGTGTATCAGAAGCCCCTCCCACTCTTCACTCAAAGAACAGACGGACCAATAGCAAAACAGAGCAGTCTACTGAAGCCCCGCCCCCTCCCACCTACATTCTGCCCGGAGTTTCAGAAGTTCCTCCTTTGACAACCCTTCTGCCCACAAACACACACAGTGAAGTATGTTAAACAAAACACACACACACACACACACACACACACACACACACACACACACACACACACACACACACACACACACACACACACACACACACACACAAACCTCTTCTGAGCTTATAATAAACTGATTCCCCTGCAGGCTCCCAGTTACCTGCTGGATCTTTCCCTCAGCTGCTGGAATCCTCCTCCTGGTTTCCGGAAACTCCAGGGCGACTTCTTTTATATCAGTGTTCACACTTTAGAGGGCAAGCAGTGTGACATCACTTCCTGCCCACGTGGATTTTACCTGAACAGGTACGAGAGTTTCATTTCAGAACTGCATTCTGCTCTATTTCTGCATTACAAAGCCATTTTATTATGATTAGTAGTGGTATGTGGTTACAAATAAAAAAAGGACTATGTTACAACATCTTTGCCGTATGTGCATTTTGATGTACTTGTAAAAAGTCCAAATTACAAAATAAAATGTCTGGATTTATTATTTTAATGTAATTAATTGGCAAAATATGCTTAATTGTTGTGGAAATAATGTTGTGATGACAGAAATGATTACAGTGCTGCAAATAGAATTTTGCGTTTATGTATGAGCTGATAAATGATGGAGACCTGTGTGTTTGTGTGGGTGTTTCAGGTCAACTCTGGACGTGTTTGATCCTCGCCCTGCTCAGTCTACTCCAGTGTGTCACTGTCTGACCGACCTGCTGTCCCACATCAGCCCACAGTTCAAACACACACTCAGCACACTGCGGCACAGGTAACACACTCGCACACTCACAAACGCATATGGGCAATATCACGCGAGTAGCAGTGCGATGTGGTTGTACATCAGCACTGGTGCAAGAAGTGTGTTTGGTCGAAGCCTTAGGCCGAGTGACTCTTAAGGAACTGTTTGAAATGGATTAATTAATCATTCGTACTGTTCAATGAAGGGGCGAAGCAGTGGCGCAGTAGGTAGTGCTGTCGCCTCACAGTAAGAAGGTCGCTGGGTCGCTGACTCGAACGCAAGTTGCAAACTCCTCATTTTTGTGAGGAGTTTGCATGTTCTCCCTGCGTTTGCGTGGGTTTCCTCCGGGTGCTCTGGTTTCCCCCACAGTCCAAAGGCATGCTGCAGGTGAATTGGGTAGGCTAAATTGTCCGTAGTGTATGAGGGTGACAGGCCCTGATGACAGGCCGGCCAGAAGGTGTAAATAAGTCGTTATCATCTAAATAGAGGACTTGTTCGAAAGAGCCGACCCCGCAACCATACGGGACTAAGGCCAAAGAAGAAGACGGTTCAATGAAGGCAAACTGTCATAGTTTATTAAGATCGCAAACACCTCACTGCACGACAGCTGCACCTTTAGCAAACCTCCTAATACCTGCAGCACGAGGACTTTATGACTGTTTATGAGCGTTAAAAGTATTTGACTGTGTGTCACTGCATATCAAACAACTTAAACAATAGAACTAAAGAAATCTTCACTGTGCTGAGCGAAAGAGCTGACTGAACAGCACATCATCGATGATGTAAGTATGCCCAGGCCCGAATGTAATGTGAGTGTGGGCCATCGGGGGAGACGGGAGGGGGGACAAACGTGCTTTGGCCTGTTTAAGGCAACTGTACATGGTGTGAGTCCGCCCTTAGTGTCCCACCAGTGACTATATATAGCCCCATCACACTGCCACGAGTGTGATATTGCATCTATACAACAGTTCGACGGAATAATCATGTTTTTAAAAAATAAAATCAAACATGGAGTCTAAAAAAAGCCTTTTGTATGAGAAACTACTTTCTTCACATCTGCAGCGGACATCAGAACAGCAGAAACCATTGCCAGTTTACGAATGTCACTTTAGAGCTAGTATTTAAATGATTATCTACCGTAATCTGTGGTGGAAAGACTACTGAAAAATCATACTCTAGTAAAAGTACCATCACTTGCCTAAAAATGTGGTGCAAGTACAGTAAAAAGTATCTGTTGTAAATATTACTCAAAGTATGAGTAAAAAGTAGCCCTTTCAAAAGTACTCAAGAGTAGTGAGTATTACGCTGTACAAAACTGATGCATTTACATGTAATTTGTGCATGTGTGCCCAAACACGTGTCCGGGTGAAAAGGAGGTTAGGAGGTAACTGTTTAGGTAGCTAGCTTGAAACCAGTGGTGCTGTCGGTAAGAACAGGTCCAGTCTAGTCACTCCATTTAGTTGTGTTTATTAGCATCGACAAGGATTTGTTCTCGGAAAGGCATGTATGTGTGTGTATGTGTGTGTCTGTGTCGGTGAGTGTGTGTGTGGTTTTCTGCAAGGAAATAGCAGAAATACAATGTGTCAATAATCAGTAAGGAAATAACAGAAATACAATGATTCAGTCTACCAACAAAGTACATATCTAAACAGAAAATATAGTAAACATGAAACATACGAGCACTTAAGTAAACTTAAATCATACAAAAGCCACTTACATGGTCAAATACGCACGCAGGAAAACAAAGGAAATCAAATTCAGTCCTCTGCACAGTTCAGCCATGTGCTGCCAGAAAATAGCAAACTGTGGGCACAGGTGCAGTTAATAAAGCCCTTGAGGCAGTCCTGATTGGCCAGAGATTGATTGAGGAGATTGGAGTGTTCCATAATCTGAGCAGGGGTGTGACACTATGAGTTTGCTGTTTAGGAACAAAACTTCTTAACACCAGGGCCCGGTTTTTCAAAAGGTTTAATCCGGATAAAATTGATTCGGATTTAGTAATCCTGTTTTTGCTCTCAGTGATCACGTAATCCAGCTTACTTTTTGAGCCAGTTTTTCAAAGCAACATTGGATTGGATCAATCTGATCCGGATAGGAACTTTTCAGGATCACTAAATCTGGATTATCAGTGCTCAATCACAATGTAGATGGATAGATAGGCCTATGTAAACAGCAACAAGTAGAATAGCCAGTGTGGGGTCAATATAACTTTATTTTTATTTAAAATGAAAACACACACATTTAAAAAAACAAACAAAAAAAAACTAAAAACAATAAAACCCCCACCTCATCCTCTTCCAGCAGTCCGCTCATCTGAGACCTACAACACAAACACTGTACATTGAGGATATTTATAGGTTTCAAATATAGATGTAAATAAAAAAAAGACCTAATGTCAAAAACTCCACAATAAGTTCAGACTTCCTCATCTGATGTGGAGAGACCAGCTTACTGAGCAAAGCCTTTAGGAGGCGAATCTCAAGTCTGGTCTTGGTTTGCTGCAGTTTGGTCAGAGTCAGTTCCAACATAAAATTATTTAATACATTTTTTAAGTTTCCATTAAATTTTGGGCATGAAATCCACACTAAATCCACCCTTCTGATGAGATCAGTTTAATCCAGGTTTTTTGGATCAAAGTGATCCAAATCCTACAAAAAAGGTCTGAAAAACCCAAAGTAAAGGTTTGATCCGGATCAAAACCAAGATTAGATTACGTGATCTAATCCAATTTGGTAATCCGTTTTTTCTTTTGAAAAACCCATTTTCAAGATTTGATCCAATCCCTTATCCAAAATCCTAGTGGATTAATTTTGAAAAACCGGGCCCGGGGGTGCCCAAACTTGGTCCTGAAGGGCCGTGGTCCTGCAGATTTTAGCTCCAACTTGCCTCAACACATCTGCAAGGATTTTTCTAGAAAGCCTTGTAAAAGCTTGATTAGCTAACCCAGGTGTGGTTGGAACTAAACTTTGCAGGACATCGGCCGTCCAGGACTATGTTGAAACAGCCCTGGTGTAAACGTAACATTCTGTAGTGCATCTAGTTTTTGCCAAGCAGGCACACAACATCATAAGACGTTAATACTAGCTTATATTTAGATTGTGATTTCAGGTGATCAAAATTCAATGTCTAGCCAGTGTAAAGACAATGTTATTTTGATGTCAAATAATGATGTCAAATGATGTTGATGTTTGGTCGATTTAAGGTTGTTAGAAAGTGACCAAAATGTCGAGCCAACATCTTAAATTAACATCATATTGACATCAAATACTGACATTTATTCATCAGGTATGGCAACCAAAATCCAACATCTGATAGACGTCATATCGGTATCACACAACATCAGGCAGTTACATCCTTAGATGTTGATATTTTGTTGGTTTTAGGTTGGTTTCGGCCTGGTGTTGAGTTCTGAGGTCAACATGATTTTCATTTCCAAACAAAATGCAATGTCCCCATAACGTTAGGATACAACGTCAATCTGACGCCATGTTGACGTCTTGTGCCTGCTGGCTGTTTAAGGCCGTTTTAGTCATTCGACAGTAAACATCCGCCATCTTCTCATCAGTGACATGCATCTAAACAGTCTCTAGGTCAATGCATGTAAAGATTTTGGACATCTTCTTGGACACTTTTAAGACTTCCAAACAGTTTGCTGCAATTATAAAGCACACATGTCTTGAGGTAGTTCATTATGGGGTGATTTACCTTCTGTGTGTGATTTGATTAGACGGGAATCACAGGACTGACTTTTCTAATCCCCATATACAAGAAAAAAAAAAGTAGTGACTGCAGGTTGAAGCAAAGTAGTAGAGTAAAAGTACTGATACTGCACTAAAAATGTACTCAAGGGTAAGTAAAAGTACACATTTTTAAAACTACTTGGTAAATTACAATCCCTAAGAAAAACTACTCTATTAACTTACTCTATTAACAGTATTTGTAATTAGTTACTTTATACCACTGACCGTTATGTCTAAAGTGCTGACAAAACAGGTGATTTTGCTCACATTTTAAGATTATAAGGCTTGTTACGCACCGTCTAGGGACGGTGCACAACATGAAAGACAGGACAACGGAAATGAAGTCAAAGATTTATTGGGATTTGAATTCAGGAGCTGACAAGTCCAAAATAACAAACAAAAATTACTTTATGTTAAATCTCTTAGGGTGCTTTCACACTTACACTTTTGTTTCGGAACGTGTCTCGTTTGCACAGTTAGCGCGGTTCGTTTGGCATATGTGAACAGGGCAATCGTGCTCTGTTCCACGCCAAAGTAATCGCTCCGAGATCACTTGAATGAGGTGGTCTCGGCTCGATTGAAACGAACCCTGGAGCGGTTCGATTGCAGTGAGAAAGTGATCCGATCCGAGTACGGTTACATCACAGTGTTTTATGGATATGTAATAGGCATACAGCTATATGAAGAGAGAATTATGAGTATGGCGGGAAGTTTGGCGAGTCTCCGCATGCCTGCAAACGAGTGATGATCTCCCGGTAATCTCGCGTCTCCCTTCCGGGTCTTAAATAGGCATCGTCGCGCACCCTTCTCACCCCTCCCCACCGCGTCTCTCCTCAGACACGTCACACGCGCACCTTGTCAATCACCATCAAACCATCACCTTTCCTGACAACTTAGCGGGACGCTGCAAAATAAACCCTGACACTCTGACCAATGTAAGGAGAGTTTACTCGCACGTGACTTGTTTTAGCTCTTTTGGTCCGATTAGAGACTTTGCAGTGTGAAAGCAAACCACTCCAAGAGCAAAGAGCAACAATGTAACAATTGTAATCTCTGTTTCAGAACAACTGAATCGATTCACAGGTGTGAAAGCACCCTAACTTACCTGATCAAAAATAGCCGGTGGAACAAAGTATCATAAACAAAGCAAACCCTACAACAAACAGTACTCATAATTCTCATTAGAATCTCAGTAGTCACACAAAACAAACACTGATCACAAATCTCAATTCCCAGTCTTAACACATCCAAAAACTCTGCACTATACCACATAAAAAAGTCTCAACAAACAAAAGCAAGTGACCAAAAACAAGATGGCTGCCAAGGAAGTAGTGTCATGGCTTTTTGAAACACTGTAGGCCAATCAGGAACAAGCAAGCTGGAAGTGGCCAATTAGATGTGTTCTAAGCCAAACAGAAAAAAAAACAGGTGAGACAGGACAAACATAGGATTGTAACAGGCTGAACAGCATGAAATGCCATCAGTCTACATAGATTTCTCAGTATTTCTCTGTTACAGTTGGTAGATCACAATAATTAAGCCCAAAAAGGCCAGAGCACTGCAAATACTACCAGTTTCTGTGGTATAAATACAGCACTACAAAAGACAAGAGAGATCAACTCAGAATGTCACTTACCTGATTTATAATGATTTGATCAGCTAGAGTTTGATATTTAAGATGAGAAAATGCTGTTTTTCTTACCTAAGGACTTATAATGCGGTTTCTGTTGCCATCTTGAGGCAGAACGTCAACCATCACTTTCTTTGGTCTGCTCAGGCTGATGGTGGCTGATACACTAAATCTGATGCTCCGAAATTATAAATATTTTAAAATGAGCACTATCCTTATAAATAAACTGCATAGTTGCAATCTAAACAACTACATTCTTGACTGAAAAAGCCTTAAAAGTATATTATGTTGTCCAACAGCTGCAATATTTGTCAAACTGTAGAGCGTCCTCTACTTGTCAGTGTATGTGGGTGGAGTAATACACAAGGGTGAAGGGTTAAGAGGCTGGACCAGTGCTTTTACTGGCAGAATATTGCATGGCTATCAGCCAATCAGATTCAAGAACCAGACAGAACTATTGTATACAGGGTTTACAGGGACATTCCAAAGACATAATGTTCCCAACGGGGTATATGCCAAGCATGCTAATAGGACTTTTAATTTGCCAGTAACCTGGGTTAAGCGCTTCCGGCAAATTGAATGCCAATGCAAAATTTGGTGCGTTTAAGGTCTGTCTTCTTTAAAAATCAGCGATCTCCACTAGCTGAGTTATATCTGATTTAAAGTGGTTCTCAGATTGTACAAGAAACACTGCATTAAATTACATTCATATCTTTATAATATGAGCATTTATTTTACCCCAGTATATTCAATGGAGCTTCTGCGTTAGCCAGCCGATTCTGACGGGCACGTGCGAGTAAACAGCTTTTTGTCTCGTTTTACGCTTGAGCAACTAAATAAATGCTAAAGTTTATTTAACTGAATGTATTTTAATGACATTACAACATCGATGCTGTATAAGTAACCGTATAAAATGGGAAAAAGTTCACAATAACAGATCACCAGAAGTGTATCAGCATGAGCAAAAATTTGAATGTCAAAAGACGCCTTGTCATTGTTCTCCATGTCATTATACAACTTTGCGACTCTGTTAAACACATGATGCCCAAAGCATCCTTAAAGACACATCACAGCCTGGGAATGGTATGTTTGAAATGTTATCATCATGGAGACTATACATGACAATCAGAGCCAGGAAAAAAAACAAATGTTCAGCAATCAAAAAACACTGTCTTCATGAGTGCAGTTTTTTTAGTATTATTTTTCATGAGTTTTCATTTGAACATATGTATGACTGCTGCAATTGGACTGGTTGGCACTTTAAAATAACATTGTGCATGCAAATTTGTACACTGACAATAAACTTTTTTTTTTTGTAATAAACCTGTACACTCGCACACCTCTCATGTGTGTGTGTGTGTGTGTGTGTGTGTGTGTGTGCGCGCGCGCGCGTGTATGTATATGTGTGTATGTGTATGTGTGTATGTTGACTAAGTGTCTCTGTGCACACAGGCCGTCACTGCCGGTGGAGGAGTCTCTGCCCACACCATACCGCACACTCAGCTGGCTGGGCTTCTCCTCGCCTCACTCACACAAATCCAGCTTCAGCGGCCGACTAGGTCTCGACCAGGACCTCAACTCCCAGGTACACACAGACACACATACACACACACACACACACACAAACAAAGTGTCAATGAATCCTTAAAGACTCTTAAACTCTGTAGTATAAAAATAAGTCTTTAATTACACTTAAATCTGCATTTCAAAAGTCTTAAAATGCAATCAAATGCCCTGTGAAGATGATTTTGTGTCCATTTTGAAATCTGCTTTAATTCTCTGTCTGTTTGTCAGAGTGGAATAAGCGGAACTCAATAAAGTACACGCTCACAAGGATTTTGCTTACGCAAGGCCTGACCAGTCATTCTGCTGCATCCCAATTATTAATATTATCAGTGCTGAGCAAAGATTAAGCGTGATTAATTGCATTAAAAATGTAAAGTTTGTTTTGACAACATATATACAAGTATATGTATGTATTATATATATTTATTATGTACATGGGATACATATACACACATACATAGAAACAAAACTATACAAAACAATTTTGTTACATAAATATTTCAATTTACAGCGCATCCGGAAAGTATTGATAGCGCTTCACATTTTCCACATTTGTTTATGTTACTGTCTTATTTGAAAATGGATTAAATTAATTTATTTCCTCTGAATTCTACACACAACACCCCATAATGACAATGTGAAAAAAAGTTTTTTAAATTTATTAAAAAAATAAAATAAAATCTGAAGAATCACATGTACATCAGTATTCACAGCCTTTACAGTGAAGCTGTAAATTGAGTTCAGGTACATTCTGTTTCCACTGATCATTCTTGAGATGTTTCAGCAGCTTCAATGGAGTTCATCTGTGGTCAATTCAGTTGATTAGGCATGATTTGAAAAGGCATGGACCTGTCTATATAAGCTCCCAGGGTTGACAGTGCATGTCAAAGCACAAACCAAGCATGAAGACAAAGGAATTATATGTAGACCTCCAAGACAGGATTGGACATCTAAGCTGAGTGATTGGGGGAGAATAGCCTTAGTCAGGAAGGTGATCAATAACCTGATGGTCACTCTGTCTGAGCTCCAGCGTTCTTCTGTGGAGAGGAGGAGAACCTTACAGAAGGACAACAATCTGTGCAGCAATCTACCAATCAGGCCTGTATGGTAGAGTGGCCAGACAGAAGCCAGTCCCCGCCTGGAATTTGCCAAAAGGCATCAGAAGTCTCAGACCATAAGAAACTAAATTCTCTGCTCTGATGAGACTAAAATTGAACTCTTTAGAGTAAATACCAGGTGTTAGTTTGGCAACTTCTGATAAATCAATGACTAAGCTGAAGGAAAAGTAATGAATGAATGTAATATTGAAATGGTTTTAGGCTCCTGACTGGAATAAGGAACTTCAAGCAGCCAGAGATCTTCCTCAGAGGAGTCTGGAGGAGAGACTTACGAGGGATCGAGCATTACTGCAGGTCTAACAACACACACATTCAATAAACAGGCTTCAGACGTGATCAAATAAAAATGGGTTCAACCAGTTTTTTAAAATAAATTACAATTGATTTTATATTTATTATAGCTTTATATTTATGTTCAACATTTATATTTATTGACATTTTTAAAATAGTTTAAATGTATATATATTTTTTATTGCATTGCATTTAATAGTTTTTTTTCATTGAATCTAATTGTAATTTGCTCTGCTTGTAAAGCCCTAGTTTGTAAGTATTTTTACGCCATCTCTCATCTTATGGTGCAGGTAAACGGTGCTTTTGTGTGGGCTGTAGCTCAGGCAGCAGAGAAGGTGATTGATGGTTTTGTGGACCCAGTGAACGGCTCTCAGGAGGACCCAGCGTTCCTGTGTGGTGGTGTGTTCATGAGTATGCCTGTGCACAGAGAAGAGTGGTTGGGTGGAGAGCGAGGACACAGAGCTGCTCAGCGTCTCGAGCTGCGATGTGTTCAGGTAGAGTTGTGCAACATGACGGGATCAGATTGTGAACCTTTAAAATATCACTTTAAAATATCATTTTTTTTAAAAATATTGTTGTATTGTGCAAACTTTTGCTTCCTTTGTTTGTTTGCTTTTTTGTTTCATTTGTTTTGTTTGTTTCCTTTGTTTTTATTTGTTTAGTTTAAATGTTTTGTTTGTTTCCTTTGTTTTTATTTGTTTAGTTTAAATGTTTTGTTTCCTTTAGTTTGTTTTGTTTCATTTGTTTTGTTTGTTTCCTTTGTTTTTATTTGTTTAGTTTAAATGTTTTGTTTCCTTTTGTTTGTTTTGTTTCATTTGTTTGTTTCTTTCCTTTTTTGTTTTTGTTCATGTTGTTTCATTTGTGTATTTGTTTTCTTTGTTGGTTTTTGTTCATTTTGGTTTGTTGTTTATTTTATTTCGTTTATTTGTTTTTTTTTTTGTTTGTTTGTTTCTTTTGTTGGTTTTTGTTTAGTTTGTTTAGTTTGTTTATTTGTTTCAATTGTTTTGTTTTTGTTCCTTTTTGTTTGTTTTGTTTTTGTTTGTTTATTTTTCTTTGTTTGTTTTTGTTTATTTTGTTTCATTTGTTTATTTATTTTCTTTGTTGGTTTTTGTTTATTTTGTTTTGTTTAATTTGTTTTGCTTGTTGTTTTGTTTCATTTGTTTTGTTTGTTTCTTTCCTTTGTTTTTGTTCAATTTGTTTCATTTTTTTATTTGTTTTTTTGTTGGTTTTTGTTAATTTTGTTTTGTTTTATTTGTTTTGTTTCGTTTTGTTTTTGTTTTGCTTGTTGTTTATTTTATATAGTGAGTTTTTTGTTTCATTTGTTTTGTTTGTTTGTTGCTTTTTTTCCCTTTGTTTTTGTTTTGTTACATTTTGTTTTGTTTGTTGTTTATTTGTTTTGTTTGTTTTGCCTAATTTGTTTTGTTTGTTTTTTGTTTTGTTCGGTTTTGGTTTTGTCTGTTTATTTGTTTCCTTTGTTGTTTATTTATTTATTTAGATTTTCCATTTGTGTTTGTTTCATTTTTTTGTTTTGTTTTTCTTAGTTTTTTTATTTTGGTTTTTGTTTTCTTAATTTATTTCAATTTAATTTAGTTTGTAAAATATGTTTATTCATTTATTATTTTTTTTAAATTTAGTTAGTTATTTTGTAATTAGTCAGATTTTTTATATAATTTATTTATAAGCTGTTTAATTTTATTTATCTTTTTTTTTTCTTATTTATGAATTTATGTATAAATGGGAACATTAGCTTGGCTGTATTGTGGTTCAGCAATTAGAAAAGTTTCTTAAAAACCATCAAGATATGATTTCGTTTTTTTCTTATGTTTCAGGCTTACAGTGACCTGGACGCAGACCTCCAGAAATTGCACACAATCCCCACCGCTTTAGCAGAATATCGTGGGGTTCGTTTGTCTGCACAGGGCCTGGCACCTGGTCTTCAGGGTCCCGAGACAGCTGAAGTCCCCAATGGCCTTTTATACGGCTTCACCGCTGGGCCGCTGGAGAATCCATCCAGACGCAAACTCCTGGAGCTCCTAGCTCAGTCGGCAAAGGCTCTTTCTCTGCAGAGACATGCAGTTGTGGGTTCGACAGGTCATCAGCTGCCTCTTTTCACCTCTGTTGATGCGCAAGGGATTCTAGGGGCCGACGGCCGCTATTACCTGCTGGATGTGTATCGCACTATGCCTGCTGATGCGAACTTTCAAGTGGAAGATGGAGGAGAAGCTGATACCAAAGAGAAGAGTTTTCCAAGACGCTACCCTCACGTTTTGTGTCGTTTACGGCCAGAGCTTGTGAAGGCATTCATTCAACACAAGTGAGTTTTTTTAAACATATATACAGTTAAAGTAAAAATTATTCGCCCTCCTGCAAATTTTTTTCTTTTTCAAATATTTTCCAAATTAAGTTTAACAGAGCAAGGAATTTTTCACAGTATTTCCTATAATATTTTTTCTTCTGGAGAAAGTCTTATTTGATTTATTTCACCTACAAAAACTATTTATATAAAAAAAAATTTCAAAGGTCAATATTATTAGCACCCTTGTGCAATATATTTTTCAATTGTTTACAGAACAAACTATTATGTTTAGAAATGTGTTAAATAAAAATGATGCAAACAGAAATTGGGGGGAAGATATTTTAGTTAGAAAAATATTTTAGTTTTCAACTGTAAATAATTTATGCATTGGTCAATCTTACTGATAGACACATCATATATTAAGCCAGTGACTGAGTTTAAGTTTTTTTTGTAGGGATGCTAAAACAAAATAAAATTAAATGTCTTTTTTTATGAGGGTGTATATTGTTAACTAAAAGAGTTAGGACTTTTTTATTGATTTTTAAAAAAGGCTAAAATAAAATAAAATATAAATATTTGCTTAAAAATGTAGCTAATTTTTATATTATTTGTTGAGATATGCAAAAGCTATGTTACATAACACTAAATAAAATTACTGTAAATAAAAAGTAAAGCTGAACTAAAAGTAAAACCTGAAAATATTTCAAAATAAATAAATAAATTGAATTGAAAAAATAAAAATAAGCAAAAAAGAAGCACATAAAAGAGTTACTAAGAAAACTGTAAACAATTCTAATGGATAAAATAACTTTGAATAATATAAACAGAGACTAAAAGTAACATTTTTAAGGAAATTAATCTTAAATAATATTTCAAAATAATCTAAAATGCTTAAAAATGAAAATAGCAGATAATAAAAGTACTAAAAATATAAGGTAAAGAAATATTACATGTGAACATGTAAATTTTTTACTTTCTTAGCTTATACTCTTCACATTTAATTTTGAAACCATATTATTAATATTTAATATTATTAATATTATTCTTAACTTTTAATACATGTGCATTTTATTGTTCCTTTTTGGTGTAGAATTTATTATATACTATATATATTATTGTATATATAAATATATATATATATTATTTTTGTTAGTTCATCTCTGTTATTTACTTTTTTGTTTATCCTTTTTATTATTAGTATTATTGTTGGCATTATTATTATGAATATTATTTTTATTTACCAACCTCCTGTATTGTTGTGCTCTGTTTATTACATCTCTTTTTGTTATGCGCAATGTGGTATGCTGATCGTCTACATTCATTCATTTATTAATTAATTTTTCTTCGGCTTAGTCCCTTTATTCATCAGGGGTCTCCATAGTGGAATGAACCGCCAACTATTCCATCATATGTTTTACACAGCGGATACCCTTACCCTCGGGTCTTATGAACGTGATTTGCCTATATATTTCAGACATGCTCAGTTCACGCAGCGAGTGAAGGCTCACTTGGAGGAGAACGGAGGACTGGAAGACGGCATGCAAACTGGTCAGAAGGAAAAACACATCTTTGTTTTTTTATTGTGGAATATTAAGTGTCTGAGGTGAGCTTTTTGTAACAGGAAAGCTCATATGTGTGTATTTGTGCGTCATCAGATGATTCTCACAGCATCGATGCAGTAAGAAAAGCCTGCAAAGACGTGGGATCTGTCAGTGACATCATCTTTGAGATGCGTTTCAACCCCAATGTCTTTTCTCCAGGTCAGGAAAAGCTCCAAAATCACTTTACAAGCTCTGTTCTCTAATTGTCCTTGTTGTACGCTGTATATTTAAGCAGGATTCCTTTAAATGATAAAATTTAAGTGAATATGAATATGCTTGGTCATAATTTACATATTATTTAAGTATGAATGCATGAGATTGTCATTGTTGGGTGAGTTACTTAAAAAAAAAAAGAAAGTAATTAATTGCTTATTGATAATTAGATTTAAATTGTATTTAGTTTAAGGTTTATTTGAATTATTGCAGAAATTACATCTGTATACATCAATGCAAAATACAAAACAAAAGCTAAATAAAAGTAAATCTAAGTACAAAGTTACACAAATAATCATGCAAAAACATAATTTTTACATCATACACAACCAGCACCTCCACATTAACCTCTTAAAGCAGAGGTCTCAAATGCAAGTTGGCGGAGGGCCATATCAGTGACTGACAATTCATAGGAGGGCCGTTTAACCATTCAAGCACAAGAAAAAAGTGGAAACCTGATGTAATTGATGCACTCAGACATACTTCCCCAGAGTATATGCAGTCAAATCTTTGGTCTCATTTTATATTAAGTGGCCTTTACTAATAAGTACTTACACAGGAGTTAATAGTTTGTTACAATGTACTTATTGTGTAAGTACATGTATTTACTATGTACTTATGCTTGATTAAATACATGTATGTAAGTACATCTGTATTTAATTTTTGTAATTACATTTGTAAATACACTGTTGACCATCCCTTACACCTTAACCCACCCTTAAACCTACCCATACCACCAAACCTGTTCATAACCCATTCTCTATCCCAACTAAAAGCACCACAAGGGTTCTCAAATACATTATAAACACAGGAAGTACATTGTATTTATTTTTTAATGTAAGTACATAGTAGTTAAGGCCACTTAATATAAAGTGGGACCAAATCTTTTTGTTTCTAATTGTACATATTGAAAGGGTAGTTTAAAATGTTATGAAAATACTACAATTCGAGGAGTAGCACAACTACTACTCTATTGAACAATGTAGAAAAAAGGCGTCGCAGGTTTAAAGGTCTATCGGAGTAAACTACTGACTTAATTATTATTATTTTTTATTTATTTGTCTTATATTTAATTTGTTTATTAGAGTTCATTCCGATTGACAATTGAAGCTGACAAAATGTGCTACCCCTGTTTTTACACTCTTCTTTAAGTAGGAAGTTCATTCTGAAAGACATTTGAAGCTGACAAGATGTGCTAATCCTGTTTTTTTTTTAGCTGAAATATGACCGATTGAGCTAATGGTCGCACATTCTGAGGAGGTAGCACAGATTGTCAGAACACCAGCAGTTTTAAGACCCCTGTCTTAAAGTCATGTTTCATTTTGGGGTTTCGTCTGGATTTTGCCTTTACCTAAATTCAAAAGCTTCCCAAATCCACATGCAGAGGTGTAAAAGGTTTAGTATTATTGTAAAGAAAACCTATTGAATTTTCATAAAACACTGTTGAAAGTGATTAAAATAATTGTGTATATGTTGTATGTGTTATAATAAACCCCTCCAAAAAATATAGGACTTTTTTTTGTAAAATCAAATTTGAAAGTTTACCTTTTAGGTTCTGTGTGGTCTGGGTTATTGTAACAAATGTATGTGGTTCCTGCACGTCATATGAAAAACTCAAAATGTCTTTATCATAATCTATGCAAAAGTTATTTTATTCCAACTGATGAGAGAACATCCGTACTGGCCCAATAAGTAGTTATGTTTACTAATACGGTACCGGGTACACAGAGTTTAGAAGGTTAAAGATAAAAGATAGAAAAGATTTAATATACTCAATAAGGAATTTAATTTCTTGACTCGATACTACATTAAATATAACTATAAATCTCAATGCATAGACAATAAAAATTGTACCATTTAAATTAATTATATGTAAGTCAAAAAAGGCCTTTAGCTTTATTTAAAATTAATATAAAAGCATTTTACAAACAAAAATAATTTTGTAAGCAAACAGAATTACGCTGAAAAAAACAAGAGAAAAATTAAATTATTTGTATGAAAACGTGAAATATTTCAAAGCAATTACACACCCTATATTGTCAACCCAAGCTCATTCTGAAAACGTAGCCCCGCGGACGTTTCTGGAGACCGCGATTTACGTGGCCGGAGCTACGTATGGCTGCATTTCATTTTTTCAAGCGAACGCTAAGTGACGCCGTAGTGGAGGGCTTTCCCGCCGCAACCAGTTTGTCCGATTAGCTCGTCGTGACCGTCGGCGGATCGGAAACCCGGAGGGGAGGTTCAAGAAACCTGGTAGGACAAAAACAGAATCCAAAAAATAAAGCAAACAAGTTCATAACAGGGCGAAAATGTGGTGAAATCCGAAAACACGGTCAAGATCAGACGAGGGCTTTTCTTTTTCTGGACGGCTTTTGTAAATCGTTGCTTGGGTTTAGGGAAGGAGGAGGAGGGTGGGCTTAGTCAATCATTCAGTTCAATCATTCAATCATTCAGACATCATTCAGTGCGGCCTCTGGCAGCTTTACACGAGTTTGCGCTCGCGAGAGGCATTCGAGATGCGAAAAAGCACACACAGCAGCCTCTTGCAGATTCGCGAAAACAAAAACTAGACAAATACGTACCTCCCAGGACGTATTTCGCAGTCTCCAATATATATATTAATGTATATATATATATATATATATATATATATATATATATATATATATATATATATATATATATATATATATATATATATACACATATATATATATATATATATATATATGTATGTATATATATATATATATATATATATATATATATATATAAATTTATATGTGTATATGTATATATATATATATATATATATATATATATATATATATTATTATATATATATTTACATAAAAATATTTATATATATTAACTTCTCTTTGTTGGTTATTAGAGGACTATAGTTTTTTATTTTGCATAATAAAAAGCAAGTACATTAAAAGTTACTAATTAAATTGCCTAAAAATGAACTGTAATCCTATACTTTTTCTGTAGATAAGTAATTTACATACTTTTTGCAACTAATTACACCCAAAACTGTTCATAATGTTTTCAGAGACTGATTTTATTATATGTAGAAGACTGCATGCTTTTGAAAGCTGATCTGTGACTGCTGAAAGTGCTGGTCATGTAGCTAAATTGATCAGAGCTAGGGCCATTATATGCATCTTGAACAGATTTTACTCTTCCTTGCTGCTAAACGCAAGAAGTGGAGATTAATTTTCAGCATTAAATATTGTTTTCTCTCTCTTTCGTCTGGTAGGTGTGCAGTTTCCCAGCTCTGAAAGTGACTCTGTGGAGCTGCAGAAGAAATTATTGAAGGAAGCGGCGTCTTTCATCATTCACAACCAGATACCAGCATTTGTGAGTGGTTCTTGGGTTTTTAAACACTATTTTCCTAAGTCAGCAAGGTTGTATAAGATTGATCACGTTACATATGATTTATATAAATAAACCTAAGAATTCTCATGTAAAGTCATTTATTTTGTTAATATTTGAAGCAGCACAACACTGCATAAAAGTAATAAGAAATAATTATTGATCATGGGGCAGCAGTGGCTCAGTGTTTAGAACTGTCGCCTCAGAGCAAGAAGGTCTCTGGTTCGAGTCCCAGCTGGGCCAGTTGGCATTTCTGTGTGGAGTTTACATGTTCTCCCTGTGTGTGTGTGGGTTTTTTCTCCGGGTGCTCCGGTTTCCCCCACAGTCAAACACATGCGCTATAGCCGATTTGAATAAACTGAATTGGCCGTAGTGTATGAGTGAGTGTGTGAACACGAGAGTGTATAGGTGTTTCCCAGTACTGGGTTGCAGCTAGAAGGGTTTCCGCTGTGTAAAACATATGCTGGAATTGTTGGTGGTTCTATCCCCTGATAGATAAGGGACTAAGCCGAAGGAAAACGAATGATTCTTGATCACCAAATCTTCATAGAATGATTTCTGAAGGATCATTAAGACGCTGAAGACTGGAGTATTGATGCTGAAAATTCAGCTTTGCATCATGGGAATAAATTAACATTGTTTTGGTTTTGTAGTGTTTTTTTTATCAAATAAAGTCGGCAAATAGGTGGTTTAAATGATCTTACATCCGACCAAAAGAGCTAAATGAATTAGTTTTGGTAATAAATGTTGCATGTGCTGCTTCAAAAAATTATGTTTTTTTTTTTTTTATAATGTGTAATTTTTAATTATTATTCCCTTACTCTGTTTTTAGTTTTATTGTTTTCCTTTACAAATATCAAAATATTTTAAATCAAAATACTCTTGCTTGAGAAGCAAATGAACGCTTGAAGTGTTAAATTAATGAAGAAATAATTATTCACATTAAACGCGTCAGATTTTAAATTAGGCGAAGCAGTGGCACAGTATTTAGTGCTGTCGCCTCACAGCAAGAAGTTCGCTGGGTCGCTGGTTCGAGCCTCGGCTCAGTTGGCGTTTCTGTGTGGAGTTTGCATGTTCTCCTTGCATTCGTGTGGGTTTCCACCGGGTACTCCAGTTTCCCCCACAGTCCAAAGTCATGCGGTACTGGTGAATTGGGTTGGCTAAATTGTCCTTAGTGTATGATTGTGTGTGTGTGTGAATGAGTGTGTGGATGTTTCCCAGAGATGGGTTGCGGCTGTAAGGGCATCCGCTACATAAAAACTTACTGGATAAGTTGCGGTTCATTCCGCTGTGGCCACCCCGGATTAATAAAGGGACTAAGCCGACAAGAAAATGAATGAATGAATGAAGATTTTAAATTAAGCTTTGAATTTTGTCTTGAATTAGCTGCTTGTTTTAATCATAAACTTACTTCATGATACATTCTTCAGGAAACAACAGTTAATGTCATTGGGCTTTTTAAAGTCTAGTAAAGATATTTGCATTGGAAATGTGCCAGATATGATTGAAGGAACCCTAAATGTTATGTCTATACTCCACCTTTATAGTTACAATTATTAATTTAGAAATATTTTTATCCAAAACGACTCACAAATGAGGGATTTAACCAGTGATTTATTAAAATGTGCAAACTAATTATAGGAAAAACAGTTTCAGAAATTGTTTAGGAAAGAAAATACAAGCCAGAATATTGTTTTTTTCCCCCCAAGTATGAAGTTGTTTTTTTGTTTTGGGTTTTAAGTGTTGTTAGCACAATTCATTGTAATTGATATGATAATTTTAAGTTTGCTGAACAAACAAGATCCTGTTTCTGTTTATTTTTCTGAAATTGATATATTTGTTGAGTGGTGTGATGAAAACTTTTTAAAAGTAAATACAAAAAAAAAAAAAAACTAAGGAAATAATCTTTGATCCCAAGTGTGTTGTCGAGCACTTACCAGTGTTTGTACATAATCAAGAAATCAGTCAGATACTGTCATACATGTATTTAGGAATTCAAATAGACGTAAACACAAAAACTGGATCTGTGAAAATCTTCACCATAGACTGTATTTTCTACGAAGGTTATGGTTTTATGGTGTTAATAAGAAAATCATGTACTTATTTTATCAAGCTGTGTTTGAAAGTGTTATCAGTTTCACTTTCCTTTATTTATGTCATTCAAATCATCACTATAGGATTGTAATGCAGAACGAAATTACGTTGCAACAGATCCAACAAAAACATAAAAAAACATCACTATAAAAACACTATAAAATCCTAACATGATAAATAAGCTTTTATAATTCCATAGAAATATAAAAAATATAATTATATAAGATATAACCCATTTTTAAAAAATCTCTTAAGAGAATAACTTAATACTTAAATACCTATTTCACCATTTGTTGTAATATTAACAATTTATGCTAGTTTAACAAATTTATTTATTTTTAACACTAGCTATCAACTAATGCTTAAGAAATGGTATTATTTAAAAGTCTTATAATGACAGGATAAAAACGAAACCGCACTGATTTGCTCCTCAGACTTCTGTAACGCCTGCCTGATGGCATGAGTGAGAGCAGGCTATGACCAGGGTGGGTTGGATCCCCTAAAATGTTATTTGCCCTAGACAGACAACGGTGTTGGTAAAGTTCCTTGATAAGTTCGTCATTTTGACTCCAACAGACCTTTCAGCTGACTTTATGATCCTCTTAATGGTGTATGTAGGTATGGTCTATCTACATGGTATGGCAATCTTTCTGTAAATCTAAAATCAAAATTTTTGAATATTATCAGAACTGCTACAAAACTAACAGGATCTGAAACTTTTACTAGTATACAAACACCCTACGAGCAACGCACTCTGAATGAAGCGAAAAGAATTTTAAGTAACCCATCTCATGTACTTTTTCCATTTTACAATCTTTTACCTTCTGGAAGAAGATACAGAACTTTCTGCTGGAAGCGAAACAGACTTAAGAACTCTTATTTAGTGTCAATCAGACTGTTTAACACTGATCAAAAATGTATGTAATTCTTTTGCATGTTGGCTTATTTTTAATTGTCATTGTGTCTGACGTGCTGTGTGAGTCCACAGAAAATTTGTCCTTGAGGAACAATAAAGTATACAACAAACAATTCATTGTGTTCCTCACTATATGATTACATATTGTGATGGTATTAACTAGTCCTGGGGTCCGTTCTTCGTACGTGGATTACTCAGTTAGCTGGATTTGGATATTGACGATTTGACACGATTCAGGATCGTTTCGTTCTTCAAAGCTGATCTGAGAGTTGTTGTCATAGCAACAGTTCTGCTAGCTCAAACCTGATCGGAAGCAGGTTCAATTCATATAAACAGGATTAGATCGGGTCAGTTCAAGCAAAGATAATAGAGAAAGTACCGAATTATGATATTTTCTTACAGTAGTAGTTATATACACTTGGGAAAATAGTTTAAAAAAATTAACTATATATATAAAGTTATAGTTATTAATAAAATAAATAAAGTTATATTAACAAAACTTATGCAATCTGCACCCTTGAAATGAAAGTACAAAGAGAAAATTTATTGATATGAACTTTTTAGATCGCTTTAGTACAATTTGTGTATGATAATAGAAATGCAGAAAATGTGACTTTTAAAAAAAAAAAATAATAATACATTAATGCAGTCATAAACATGTTTTGACAGTAAATATGCCAGTGATTATGCTTCACAAAAGTTGCAGACGCCTTTACCAATATGCTTTTGTAAACATCCAGTTATTCCATACAGCGATTAAAAAAACGGCTACTGTAATAAAGAAAATATTTTCTAAATGTAGTACTAAATACATTGATATGCATTGAAATACATGATGAATACTCTTGACACATGAAAGTGTAAAGTCTGCAGTTCACAACATATGTGGAAAGTTATTGCGTGTCATATTTAACAAACCGTCGACTGCTAATTTAATGTGATTTTGCTCACATGGATAATTGAATATTAATCAGATGATGTCATTACGCTGCTGTTTCGTCAGCCAATCGTTGCATTACTGATCATGATTTCGAGGATCGATAGATCTGTCCTTCACAACACACGCAGCGATCTCAGATCAGTTCATCCAGACATTCTAATCTGATTCGCGAACCTGTTTGAAGAACCAAATTATTCAGAGATCAGTTATCAAGATTAAAAGATCCAGGATCGGCAAAATCATCTTAGATCATTTAAGCGAGGTACGAAGAAAGGACCCCTGGGCAAAAAGTTCACATGATTAATCGCATCCAAAATAAGGGTTTGTTTTGAGATAATATATTTGTGTGTACTGTGTATATTTACTACAGTATGTATATATAAATACACACATGCATGCATATTTTTGAGAAAATGTTTATTTATATTTAGAAATAAAACATATATGTATATGATACAAATTATATATAAATGCAGATATCTATGTAGCAAAAGGTTTTTGTATAGTTTTGTTTATAAGAATGTGTGTGTGTGTGTATCACATATACATAATAAATATGTAAAATACACACACTTTCCCAGTACTGGGTTGTGGCTGGAAGGGCATCCGCTGCGTAAAACATATGCTGGAATAGTTGGCGGTTCATTCCGAAAATACACACACAAATATTACATCCAAACAAACTTTTATTTTGGATCTGATTAATCTTTGCCCAGCACTAATATTAACTTAAACCTCAAAAGGATCTTTGAAAAAATCATATCTACCTTCATAATACTTTAAGAAACGCTGTTCAAGAACAGAAATCTGACCATCCACATACATTTTTGCAATCAATTCTTTCAAAAAACCCTAAAATATCATCATGCATTTTCAGATGAACGACTGCATTCAAAGCTCTGATGTGCCGATGGATGGAGCATCATTACGGCAAGCCCTCCATCAGAAAGGCATAAACCTCCGTTATCTGGGTCACCTGATTTCCTCCATCAGCCAATCAGATTTCAAACATCAGCTGAGACACATCAAGGTAAGAAAACCATTGTGGATTTGAATGATGATTGAATTCAGATGTGGTACTAATCATCTTTTACTGTCTTATTCAGAGACTGGCGTTTGCAGAAATTGTGGTGCGCTGTGCACAGCGGTTCTTCAGTGGATACATTCAGGTATGTCAAATCATGTTTATTTTTATACAAAACTCATTGTTTCAATGATAGATATATATTAAAGTCAGAAATATTAGCCCACCAAATATTTAAAACATTAAATTACGCCTTTAATTTAGAGATAAAACCTAGCGTTGAGTTAGCTATCTTTGGTGTACCGGAACACATTATATTGTTGACAAACTAGGGAAACAATTAATTCGCCTTCGCTACTTTTTTAGCAAGGAGAAGAATACTACTTGAGTGGAAATCAGCAGCTTCACCTGAAGCTTCAATGTGGATGAGTGATCTGATTTGATATCTGAAATTACAGAAAGTTAAGTATTTAATGAAAGGATTTGTCCAAAAATTTTATGAGACATGGCAACCTATGATCACATATTTTGAAAAAAGGAAGACTCTCCTTTAACTGATTTATATAAATAAATCTGTGCAAACAGGTTTAATTGTGATCACCCATACGGTTTAGTTTGATATTTATGTAAAAGACCACTATAAATGTTACAGAATATGGATTTGTATTATCATGTACTGTAGGTAATTATTTATTTGAATTATTTTTTAAGTTTATTTATTTATTCTTTATTAATTTACTATTATTATATTATTTTTATTTATTTATTTACTATTATTATGAATTTTTTTTAATTTTGCTATACTTTTATCTATTCCTGTTGTAATTGTATTTTAATTTTAATTGTTTGCTAATTCATTTCGGCGGCAATGTTTTGTTAAAGCTTGAGAAAATAATCACAAATAAATGTTAAAAAATAAAATAAAAATGATTAGCCCCCCCTAACAGTGCAAGGAAGTTTTCACAGCATGTCTGATAATTTAATTTCTTCTGGAGTAAGTCTTATTTATTTTATTTCAGCTGGAATAAAAACAGTTAAAATTATTAGACCCCTTAAGCTAGATTTTTTTCGATAGTCTACAGAACAAAAAAAAAAAAAAAAATATATATATATATATATATATATATATATATATATATATATATATATACATACATACATATATATATATATACATACACACATATATATATATATATATATATATATATATATATATATTATACAATAACTTGCCTAATTACCCAAACTTTCCTAATGAATCTAGTTAAGCCTTTAAATGCCACTTTAAGCTGTATAGAAGTGTCTTGAAAAATATCTAGTCAAATATTATGTACTGTCATCATCACAAAAGATAAAATAAATCAATTATTAGAAATTACTTATTAAAACTATTATGTTTAGGAAAATGCTAAAAAAAAATCTTCTCTGCGTTAAACAGAAATTAGGGGGGAAAAAAACAAACAAACAGTGGGGCTTATAATTCTGACTGTTTGTGTATGTATATGTAACCTGTATCTATTATGTTGTTCAGGGAGTAGAGACATCAAACTTGTCAGCAGCTGTCAGTCATTTCCTCTGCTGCTTATTGGTGCCACACTTCAGTTCAGCCTCCAATGGGGAAGAGTCTAAGAAGCGCTCCAGGAGGCGTGGCCGTGGAGGGGCCGGGGCTACAGACAGCGCTGCATGGAACGCCCTCAGTGGGAATGAACTGTGGAGTCTGATCTGTCAGGACGCGCAAGAAACATACAGATTTAAAGAAGGGTTAGGGTGAGTTAAGATCATGACCAAACTTTTAGATGCATTCATTACAGCGTTTTCATGAAGTCTTATTTTTGCAGATCAAATGTGGACCATCTAGTTGAGCAGTACGGACTCCAGAAGATGTCCTTGTTGAGAGAGATGTGCTTGAAGACTGGGATTCAGGTATTGCGTTGAGTTAGGCACGGGGTAAATTTGAAAGAGCATGCTGGAAAGTTTTTAGTTTGGACCACAAATAATTTGAATGAATCGAAACCTTGAGAGTGTTACGACTTCATGATGTCAGACTAGGGACTGAAGTAAGTAACATTTACATTCTGACAGTTTTGTGTAATATGGGAGAAGAAGAACCATGCATCAAGCAAAATACTGCCAAAAAGAGAATAATTTATTATACAAAAATTTAAAATAAACAGAAAATAGTAATAATAAAGAATAATAATATAGATAACAACAAATAACACAAAAGGTAAATTATATATAATTTATAATGACAAAATAACCCAAAACAATAAATCCCGCAGGGGAAGAGGACAAAAGGGGTGCTGAAAGAAAAAAACAAAACCAAAAATCAACTCAGTATAATCCTCTTACCTTTAAATATTCAAAAGTAAGTCTTCGGCATTTACACGCCCTAACTTTCCTACTCTAAACTTAACCAAACAGAAAAATACAAAGCCAGCGCTCACTCCTAAACCTGGTGTTTTCCCTAGTTGATGTAAGAATGTACGTCACGTGACATCTACCTCTCCAAATCCCCCTGGGGAAAACAACGAATATCAGCAAATAATCTTAAATGAAGTATAAAAAAGAAAATGAATGAAAATAATATAGGTGAACATAGATTCATTTTTTAAAATCTAGATTAATCTCGGAATTAATGTAGATTAAAATGGCTCATTTGAATACTGCAGAAGGCATTCAGAATATGTGTGCTACTCAAAAAATAAGTCTTTGAGAATGAGTTTTCAAGCCAGGTGGCGCATTAGACTAGGGGCTCATCTCCTGTTTCCAAGATGCATCACAAACTGGTTGAGAAACTGTTCTACTATGATAATTGGTGATGAAAATAAATGATGTTCAATAAGATGTACTTGTGTTTACTCACTGTTTATTCAGTTAAACATGAATTTTTAACTGTAGGCCTATATAAGCTCCAAACAGCAATTTTTGATCACCTTAACTCGACTAAAGTCAAAACTGAACTACACAGAAATGGAATTAAGACATGTGGAGTATGCAGATATTAGTGGCATTATTGAAGTAAACACTGCAATCAAACTATTACCGTCATGAAGGACTTTTCGCCATATTTTTCGACAAGATCCACACACACATATACACGGCTGTCAGTAAAGGAACGCACACACACACACATTGCGAAATTTTTTTCTTTCCATTTGGCGTGCATTAGTAAGTTCCATAACACTCTCACCATTCCTTATTCCTTATTTGCGTTTAATACCTGTTTGTCATGAGGACATGAATAAAATGTTCATGAATTAAAGTGAAACTGCTGAACTCAAAGTCAGGCATCCTGCTGATTTGATTCAGGAGGGCACTTTTTTTGTCAGGCGGATCACCGGTCAGGTATACATCCGCACTTAAATATCAAGGTGAAAGTCATCATAGCTTGCTCAGAATAGACCCAGCTCCCAACCCAACTTTGAGAATAGATTAACATTGATATTTTTTTTTTTTTGCCCGATAAGAGTCTCGCGTTAACGCCGATAACAGCCCACCACTAGAAAATAAACAAGATGGCAATAACAACTTTGGCAAAGCAATATTAAGTACCAAAAAACAAAAGTAATAACGGGAGGCAGATCAAAACAGGAACGCAAAAGCCTCTGTCCGGCGTCCCACTCGTTGTCTTTTTAAAAACCTGGCGACCACTCAGATTGGCCGCAGAAGCTGCCACATCACTGAAGATAATGATGATTGACTGATCCTACAGCCAATAGCAATCTGAAGGGGGTTGAACCTGTAAAACCGAAAGAGAGAACAGGTGTGCGTGTGTGCAAGAGAGAAGGAGAGAGCGAAAGAGAGAGACACACAGGGAAAATTCCCGGAGCGTAACAAGAGTAATCATTTTGCTAGGGCACTATGGAATTTAATCAGATTTGGGTAAAAACCAATTGATTTTATTTCTCTGAAAGCATATGAGAGTTTCTCTGGCTGTATTTGTGATCATTTTCTTGCTGAAATGTTCACCCTGGTTTCATCTTCATCCTCCTGCTAATAGAGGAAGTTGAACTGATGCAGCATATATTCATTACTCAGAGGAAGTTGCTGAAGAACTACTGAGATATTTCAGCTGCTGTCTGGGCTTTCACTGCCTTTCTACACCTCCCTTTCTTCATGTGTTCAATACTTTTTCCCTGCGTCATTTCAATTTATTACACATAACTTCATTTTTAAAATAATCAGATTTGTTTTCTTTGCATATATGGATTTCGTTGGTTGTTATAAACATCTGGTGAACATTTCAAGTCAACAGCACCTTTAGAAATATGTTTTCTGAGAAAAATGGTGACATGTTCACTACTTATTTTCCCCACTGTACTTCTTTTTCAGCTTTAAATTTTGTTTCTATTCTTATTTTCCCCCAACCTTATTTTCATTTTCTCCAACTCGAGCAGGAATATCAAAAATATGAAGCAACATAACTGTGATAATTTTAATAAGAAGCAACATTAATGTTAATTAATAAAATCAGCAAATTAGAATAATTTCTGAAGTGACACTGGAGCCGAATTCAGCGTTGCATCTCGGAAATAAATTACATTTTTAAATATATTCAAGTTGAATTCATGTACCACAGCTATGCTGATGACACTCAGATCTACCTAGCCTTACTGCCTAATGACTACAGCCCCATTGACACCCTCTGCCAATGCATTGATGAAATGAGCAATTGGATGTGCCAAAACTTTCTTCAGTTAAACAAAGAGAAAACTGAAATGATTGTGTTTGGAAACAAAGATGAGGTTCTCAAGGTAAATGCGTACCCTGGCACTAAAGGTCAAACGACAAAAAATAAGGTCAAGAATCTTGGTGTGACTCTGGAGTCAGATCTGAGTTTCAACAGTCATGTCAAAGCAGTCAGTAAATCAGCATACTGTCATCTCAAAAACATAGCAAGAATCAGATGCTTTGTTTCCAGTGAAGACTTAGAGAAACTTGTTCATGCTTTTATCAGCAGCAGGGTGGATTACTGTAATGGACTCCTCACTGGTCTTCCTAAAAAGACAGTCAGACAGTTGCAGCTCATCCAGAATGCTGCAGCCAGAATTCTGACCAGAAGCAGGAAATCAGAGCACATCACACCTGTCCTCAGGTCTTTACACTGGCTGCCAGTTACATTCAGAATAGATTTTAAAGTATTATTACTGGTCTATAAATCACTAAATGGCCTAGGACCTAAATACATCACAGATATGCTCACTGAATACAAACCTAACAGATCACTCAGATCATTAGGATCATATAAACTAGAAGTTCCAAGAGTTCAGTCAAAGCAGGGTGAATCGGCTTTTAGCCTGTTTTTATGTTTTGTTTTGTTTTTACGCATTTTTATTATTTGTTTTTATTTTTATTTTACTTGTTTCTTTTATTCTTGTTTATGTAAAGCACTTTGAATTGCCATTGTGTATTAAATGTGCTATATAAATAAACTTGCCTTGCCTTGCCTTGCCTAGAAAGCTTACATCATTTAAAAATCACAATATCATCTTTTTATTTTTATGTATAATCAAATAAAGGCAGCCTAGGTGAGCAAGAGTGCTGAGACATGCCATTATACCACCTGACTTTGAAAATGATTTTTTCAGTCAATGTCCGCAGGAAACTCTTTCTCATTGCTGTGTTTTGTGAACGTCCCGCAGCTTCGTCTCAGAGAATATGCCTTTGACAGTCGTAACAAAGCTCCCATCTCTCCTGATGATGTGCTCAATGTTCTTCCTGTCGTCAAACACATCACGATGACAACCAGCGACGCCACGCGGATGTTCATGGCGGCCCAAAACAGCCTTCAGAAAGGTATTCATCGACCAATATGATAGTATTAAATGCTTTTTCTATGATAGTTGCTTGAAGCTTTTATTGTGAAATACAATATTATAATGATCTTCCCGTAGGTTTGCTGGAGAAGGCGTACGAGCAGCTGAAAGAAGCGTCGTATCTCTTCAGTCGTGTGTGTGATGATCTTCATCCTGAAGCCTGTCACTGTCTCAGTCTGCTGGCAAAAGTTGCTTATGTTCAGGGTCATCCTGCTGAGGTGTGTTATGTGCACTATGTAGGGTGTGTCTTCCTTCCCAGTGTGTCCAAAAGCACAAATAGCCCAAGGGTTAGAGTACTAAAGGGTTACTAAACCTTACTAAGGGGTTTAAATACAGTTGTGTGTGAATACAACCAGCTTCTAATGATTAAAATGTACAAATAAATTTCTTTTTCAATCACACTTGATAAAAACAGTCTGCAGAAACACTGTGATTGACAATCTCCCTTCGTACAAGTCATCAGAGGGGAAAAGCTCCGCCCATCTCTCCCTCATTAGCATAGCACATTAGTCTTGCTTCTGAATCTGCCAATATGCTGACACACAGGCATTCGTAGATCGGCCCTCTTTAAAAAAAGAGCACACTCTCATTTGAATTTAAAGCGACAGTCACCAAATTGCCACAATTAGGATCAAAAGGGTGAAAACCAGAGAGTTATATAACATTATCTGTGTGGTATTTTGAGCTGAAACCTCACACACACACACACTCTAGAGACATCAGAGACTTATTTTACGTCTTGTAAAAAGAGACATAATAGGATACTTTTAAACAAGCTAATATTTAGTGACTACAATTCATACTTTTTGATAGCAATATATAAAAAATGTATAAGTCAAAGTTTGAATGTCAATAAAAAAAATCGAAATACTCCTTTCTATATACATGATACAGAAGATTGGGGTAATGATGTTGGAAATTCAGCTTTGAATCGCAGGAGGAAATTACATTTGAAGCATATTTGCTTAATAACGACTATTTTAAATTATATTATCATTTCAGAATATAAAAAGATGTATAGCATATTCTTGTCAAATAAGTGAAACCTTGATTAGCAGAAGAGACTTCAAAATATTAAATCTTAATGATTCTAAACTTTGATTGGTACTTGTAAGTGTTTATACATTTTATAATGAATGCAATATATATAAAAATTAACAATATTATTATTTTATTTATGGATAATTTAGGATTTTTTTTTTTTTTGCACATCGATGGGTTTGCTCTTTAGTGTTTGGACTTTCAGCAGCGAAAATTAAACCACACTGTACTGAACTAAACTGAACTTTAACTCTGAAAACTGGACTGACAGTTTCAGTTTACTAGAACTTCTATGTTAAGCTGCTTTGACACAATCTACATTGTAAAAGCGCTCTAGAAATAAAGATGAATTGAACTGAATTGAGTGAATTGTCAGTTTAAAAACAAGCACTATATGATTTAAGACTAAATCTACTTTTCAAAACATTAAGACAATTGCTTTATTTAGATTGGACAAAGAAAATTATTTGCGTTTATACATTTTATAATGAATGCAATATTTTAAAATTAACAATATTATAATTTTATTTATGAAGGAATTTAGAAATTTGATTTATTTTTATTTTATTTTAGCACATCAATAGATTGCTCTTCAGTGTTTGCACTTTTAGCTGTAAAAATTCGACCACACTGAACTGAACTAAACTGAACTTCAACTCTAAAATCTGGACTGACACTGTTCCAATTCACTATAATCTTCTATGTGAAGCTGCTTTGACACAATCTACAATATAAAATACAGCAAATACAAATGAATTGAATTTAGGGAATTGTAAGTTTAAAAACAAGTATTATATGATTTAACACTAAATCTACTTCTCAAAACATTGAAAGAACTGCTTTATTTACAAATGCAAAAAAAAAAAAAAAAATCACATTTAATTGAATGCATGCCAGTATTTTGTTTTTGAGTATTTTTCTCATTTTGTTTCTCATTAGATTGGATAAAGAAAATTATTTGCATTTATACATTTTATAATGAATGCAATATTTAAAAATAAACAATATTAAATCTTTATATTTATGAAGGGATTTAAAAAAAAACTAGTATGTGTTGCATTTTTATATGTCCACATTTAATTCAAAAATTATAATGCATGCCAGCATTTAGTTTATAAGGAGTATTGCTCGAGTATTGTTTCTCATAAGATTGCGATGATGAAAATGTTTTGCATTTAAGTAAGCCAAAGGCAAAATGGTCTTACTTTATTGAATTATGCACTCAAAACAAACCTATTTGTCAATCTATTAGTTCATCACTGTTTTCCATGTCTGTCCTATAATCTCTTGTAGGCTCGCAGTGTTCAGCTGAGGGTCGTGATCATCAGTGAAAGAGTTCTGGGCTTCGATCATCCCAACACCATTCAGCAATACGTGAGTCTCAATCAACAAATGCATGCTCTTCTCCTTCATCATCTAAGTCCTTCATAGTTCTCAAACAGTACTTTTAAAGGCTTTTAATCACCTTTTATCTGTAGAATCAGTCATTTGTATAGCCTGGGGGCTTATCCACATCAATTTGGAGTCCCTTAAGACTCTATTCTTAGCCCAATGCTGTTTTTCTTGTATATGCTCCCATTATGGTTCATCCTCAAGAAATATAGCATTTTGTTTGGCTGCTTTGCAAATGACACTCAAATTGACCTGCTATTAAAACAGAAACATAATATTTTTATAGCCTTATTAGCTGCTTTTGATCTGGGCTCTTTGCTTCTCAATATTAGTGGATTAATTAACCCAAAACTGTTAGCTACAGTATAAGCTACCAAAACAAAACATCATCAAACAACCAACTTTTTTCCTGCTTTTTAAAATCTTTTATTTTCTAGCTTATTCATTTTATTTTATTTATTTTCTTGACATTTTTCTTTGTAATAGGGGTTTGGATTGGGATTTTAAACTTAACAACTCAATAATACAGTAAGCTAAGGTTTGTTTAATGTATTTCTTCGGTTTCCAGGTGTTATTAGCGGTGTATCTGTATGCCGGTGGTGAAGCGGCTCTGGCTCAGCGATGTCTTTATCGAGCCAAAGTCCTCCTGCTGACGATTCATGGAGGAGATCATCCGTACACTGCAGTCATTGATGTAAACATCAGCAAATGTCATCTCATTACTGTAATCTCATACTGAAATACTGGTCTGACTGCTGACGCTTGTGTGTTTTCCTCTGTCAGGCTTCTCTGGGATTGATGCTTCAGGGAGAGCAGTCATTACAGTTTCTCCAGAACGCACTGAAGATCAGCCAGTCCTTCAGAGGAGACGCAGATCTCACAACTGCTCTCATGTAAGACACCGAACACCATTTAATCAGGAGTCAGAAAGAAATGGAGATGTGTTGTGACTTCTAAAGTGGCAATGCAAGCACTGGTTATGTTTCGAAATAGAAAATCCAAATTATGAGTATAATGCACCTTATTTTAACCTCCTAGGGCTGGAGTGGCCACATATGTGGACAGCACATTTTAGCTCTTAAGTGGCTATTAAAAATACTTTGAACGTTTTTTATTTTGTAACAGACATACAGTGTCATCCTGCAACTGTTTTGAAGCATATGAAATATCCCAAACCCTATTTTTAACTGTCCAAAATGGGGAAAAAATGTTGTTTTTACTCTCTGATTGTCAAAGCAAGTTCAAAAGAAATTCTATGTTATATATTAGGGATGTTACGGTATTGTAAATACCGTCGTACCGCAATATTAATTTTTTTCGATATTACCGAAGTCGCATGACTCGGTAAAACTACAGGTCTTCTGAGAAAATTTGCTCAGGCGAATGAAGCGAACGGGAGGTAGCGAAAACTACAATTCCCATCAGCCCATGCTTGACCATCATCCCTTGCGGTCTGTTGTCGCTACAGATCCAGTAATGCGGAAATGGAGTGTGCTGCTAGAAGCGGGGAGGAAAAAGAGCTGGAAAACTCTAAAGCGGGTGTTGTCGCGGCGCGCGTACTGAATAGCGGTGTTGTCGCGCGAGTTCTTATCAGCTGTTTTGCCGCGCGCGTACTGAATAGCGGTGTTGTCGCGCGAGTTCTTATCAGCTGAGTTGTCGCGCGCGTACTGAATAGCGGTGTTGTCAGCACACTGTTCAGATTGATGCAGACATGAGACCTCTATCTTACTCATGGTTTGTCCTCTCAAGTGGGGGAAAGACAATGCACAACGTTACCCACTGCTGTCAACCTGGGCCAAGTCATATCTCTCTTGTCCCAGAAACCTCAGTCCCAAATGAGAGGGTTTTTTTTCTGTTGCAGGGGACATTGTAAATGCCCAGAGATACCAGCTTTTACCAGATTATATTTATATGATAATTTTCCTTTAAACCCATCTCTATCTAAGTAAGTGAGTGAGTGATTAAATGTTGAATGTGATGAGTTTTCAACACTACTAAATTGAAACTTAATTTTTTTACATGGTTTAATAATTTTTTGTTATTAAAATTGAAGTTCCTGTTTCAAAGCTTACAGATAGATGGCTAATTTGTATGTCATTGACACTTTTGACACTTTTTTGGAGTATTTTCATAAGTTTTATTTTTTCCTGTAAATGATTTAATAAATACCGTACCGTGACATTCATACCGAGGTATTACCGTACCGTGAAATTCTGATACCGTTACATACCTATTATATATGCATTAAAAACAGTCAGGAAAAAGTGTTTTATGTAAATTGGGACCACGAAGCCACATATAGGTGAAGTCAGAATTATTAGCCCCCCTAAATTATTAGAGCCCCTGTTTATTTTTTTCCCTATTTCTGTGTAATGGAGGGAAGATTGTTTCAGCACATTTCTAAGCATAATAGTTTTAAAAACCTATTTCTAATAACAGATTTATTTTATCTTTGCCATGATGACAGTGAATAATATTTTACTAGATATTTTTCAAGACACTTCTATACAGCTTAAAGTGACATTTAAAGGCTTAACTAGGTTAACTAGGCAGGTTAGAGTAATTTGGCCAGTTATTGTATAACGATGGTTTGTTATAAAGATTATCGAAAAAAAATAGCTTAAAGGGGCTAATAATTTTGTCCCAAAAATGGTTTTTAAAAAATTAATAACTGCTTTTATTCTAGCCGAAATATAACAAATAAGACTTTCTCCTGAAGAAAAACCATTATCCGACATACTGTCAAAATTTCCTTGCTCTGTTAAAAATCATTTGGGAAATATTTAAAAAAAAGAAGAAAAAAATCAAAAGGGGGCTAATATTCTCACTTCAACTGTATGTAGATTTGTGGACATCATTTTTTTTCTAAAAGTATGTCATATCAAACGATGATACTTAGATTTTTATTCTAATTAGGTTCCAATGAGTCCAAATAGCAAAGAGAAATTAAAAATGCATGTAAAAAACACCTTGGGCCTTAAATGTTAATTAAATAAATGTTTATGTCTCACATACAAGGCTATACCACAATGCATTGCAATGTGCACAGTGAAAAGAATAATTAAAGTTTGACAAAGTATGACTCAAAACTAAAGGCATCGACAAAAAAAGTTACTTTTTTACTCACTGACATTTACTTTCACATTTAATTCTAAAACTATAATGCATCAAGTTGTGTTTAAATTCCAGCTGACATTAGAATATTTAATATTTAGAATAGTAAATATTATTTAGAAGATGTAAATACAAATTATTTGATATAGAAGAACATATATTAGTCATTTCAAATGCATATATATATATATATATATATATATATATATATATATATATATATATATATATATATATATATATATATATATATATATATATATATATATATATATATATATATATATATATATATATATATATATATATATATATATATATATATATATATATATATATATATATATATATATATATATATATATATATATATATATATATATATATATATATTTTTTTTTTTTTTTTTTTTTGCTATTTTATGCATGGGTTTTACATATATATATATATATATATATATATATATATATATATATATATATATACATACATACATACACACACAAACACACACACACATATATATATATATATATATATATATATATATATATATTTATTTATTTATTTTTATTTATTTTTTTGCCATTTTATGCATGGCTTTTGGTATTAATATAGCAATAGACATGACAATAAATAAATATATATATATATATATATACATACACACACACACACACACATATATATATATATATATATATATATATGTGTGTGTGTGTGTGTGTATGTATATATTTATATATTATATTTATATATAAATATAATATTTACTTTTGTCAGGTAGTGTATTGTGCAGCTCTAATTTGAAGCAGGAGTTGTGTTTAAAGTATTTTGGGTTTGTTTTTCAGTCACCACCTGCTGGCTCAGAGACTGTGTGTGTCTGGCGACTACAGACAAAGCATGAACCACGAGAAAGAGGCTCACAGCATCTTCCAGAACAAGGTCCACATTTAAGCCCCAGTGCTGAATTTCTGCTTTTAAAAACATGCCGGTGTTCTGACTGTGTTTGTGTACCGAGACAGTGCGGTGAAGATCATCCTCAAACTAAATGCAGCTCAGACTTCCTGAGGAACATCACCCAGCAGGCCGTGCGTGTGGAGCGCTCCATCCGACAGGGAGGAGCAGAGGCATCCGAAACACCGCCAGAGGTACAAATGAGGGCAAAATGATTAGCCCTCCTATGCAATATTTTCCTATACAGTATTTCCTATAATATTTTCCCTTTTTATTTGTTTTGTTTTGGATAGAATACAAGCATTTTTAAACCATTAAAACCAATATTATTAGCCCCAATACGCTATTTTTTTCGTGTAGAAATGTGTTGAAAGAAATCTTTCCATTAAACAGAAATTGGAGAAAAATATATACAGGAGGTCTATTTATTCTGATTTAAACAGTAAATTCAGCTGCAAAATAATCTTCATTAGAGCCGACGTATGGAGACTTGCTCATTTTAACATGTGCTTTATTTCTGTTCTGTCTGCAGGGTTTGTTTCCTTCTCAGGACACGACGCTGGAGCAGCTCGCTCTGGTCAACGGCATACTCAAGACTTCATACAGGTGAACGCACACTTTTAGGATTACTTGTGAGATTCCTGTCAAAATAATTGCATTTACAGAAAATTATATAAATGAAGAGTTTTCAAAAACAGATCAATATTTTTTTTTTTGCAATTGAACTCTTCAATACTGTATGTATACAATACATACAATCAATACAATGTAAAACATAATATCTGAAAATGGCTAAAATCAGTTTTTGCAAATCCAGTAAACTCTTCATCCATTTATTTATTTATTTATTTAGCACAATACATCGTCACTTTATAAAAACACAAGTTTGCACTAAGAAAATAATTTACAACATATTTGTAGCATATTAAAATCCTAAGTGTTTTCAAAATCCAAACAATTTATAAATATACAGTGGAAGTCAGAATTATTAGCCGCCCTTTAATTTTTTTTTCTTTTTGAATTATTTCCCAAATGATGTTTAACAGAGCAAGGACATTTTCACAGTTTGTCTGATAATATTTTTTCTTCTGGAGAAAGGCTTATTTGTTTTGTTCCGGCTAGAATAAAAGCAGTTTAAAATTTTTATGAACCATTTTAAGGTTAATATTATTAGGCCCTTTAGGCTTATTTTTTTCTCGATATTCTACAGAACAAACCATCGTTATACAATAAATTGCCTAATTACCCTAACCTGCCTAGTTAACCTAATTAACCTAGTTAAGCCTTTAAATGTCACTTTAAGCTGTACAGAAGTGTCTTGAAAAATATCTAGTCAAAAATTATTTACTGTCATCATGGCAAAGATAAAAGAAATCAGTTATTAGAAATGACTAGTTATTAGTTATTGAAACTATCATGATTAGAAATGTGTCGAAAAATATCTTCTCTCCGTTAAACAGAAATTGGGAAAAAATAATAATAATATTATAATTCATACACACACACACACACACATATATATATATATATATATATATATATACAGTGTTCAGCATATATAAGTACACTCCTCACAAGTCTTACATTTATATTTTTAATAGGAAGCTAAACACCATAATGTTTGTGCATATACATTAGATTAGTCACAACTGAAGCCAAATCTGGATCCAACAAAATAACTTGCAACTAACGGTCCAAAAACTCATGCAGCCAAATATATATGTTACAGAAAAATCTTAAATACAAATTTAAAGAAGAGGAAAAAACAAGAGAAGCAAAATCTTGAAAAATGTATTTGAAATTTTGTAGGTTGTGATTTATTATTATTATTTTTTTATTATTTTTATTTTTTGCAATGTTTTGCATTAATTTAATTGTATTATCTTTCAGTTTCTAAATATGTTTGGTGACTAAAATATTATTTTAATAAAAATATCTGTTCAATAAATCTGTTTGGTTTAAATGCACCGAAATACATAGCCTATATTCACTGAGAAATGGAGAAAAATATTCATTTTCAAAATGGGCTGTACTCAATTATGCTGAGCACTGTAAATATTTATTATAGCTGTAGAAAAAAATTAAGCGACCACTTTCTCAATTTCTGTTAGTTTTTTAGGATTTATAGTTATGTTAATGTTAGGTAAAATGTCATTTTTGTTTTATTCGGTACACTTGCTGACATTTCTTCCAAATTATATAAACATTTTTAAAGCATTTTTGGTGCCATGTTTCAGACATTTGAATTATTCTTGGACAACACGAATTCAGTATTTGGTGGATTTTTATGACAATATATGTAATTCTGACTAAATGGCTCTATATTATTCTATACTAAATGGCTAATATATAATACCGTGATGTAATTTAAAACTTTAAATAAAATCTCTACTCATCAGTGGTGATTAATAGAGTTGAGCTGTAGCATAAATTATATAGTAGTTAATTATTAAACGTCCCGTGAAAATTTAAATAACATTTTTTTAGATGTTAGTATCAGTATGTTATCTATAAGCAGATATAAACATCCAAAAACTTGCAGTTTGTCACGTCTGCCTAAATAGATCGACTATATTTTCACCTCATACTTCAGTTTCTCATCAAATCTTGACCAATCAAATGCTCTCTAGTGTCTGACATGCCCCGCCCCTTTCAAAACATTTCTCATTTGCTTTTCATTTGATCTCTGATAAAACCTAAATGCTATTGGCTGTTTTAATAAAGAGGAGGAGCTATGTTATGTCCCACCCTCATCATGTTTCAGTTGAGATTACGTCAAAAACGTTGAATAAAAATGGCCATTACAAAGCACTTCAGGGGACATTTAATGTTAACTACTGTATATAGTACTATCAATAGACTTATTATATATACATGTTGTATTTGTTATAATTTACATTAGTATGCATTCAGACAACATTCTGCCATCTCCAATCGATAACTGCAGAACTTTTAGGATTTGATTATATATATAAATCATTGTAGTTGATGGATACGGCTGAATGCTTTTATCATTGTCGCTTAAGCACAAGAATGATGGAGTTTAAAGAGAAACTGAAAGAGAAGAAAGCAGCAGAAGAGGCAGAAAAGACCAAACAGGAGTCAGCCAATGAGAACCAAGCTTCAGAGCCGTCAGCCAATAAGGGAGAGGCTACTGATGACAGAGAACAGGCTAACGGAAATGCAGAATGCCAAACTACAGGAGATGAGGCTTCAGAGGAAACGGATCACACACACATGAACTGCCAGATGGAGTCCCACATGCACAACGGAGTCTCCAAATCTGAAAACGAGGAGGAGAAACGCCAATCTGACATCACTAATGGAATTCCACCCCAGAGCCAATCAAAATCAAGCATCACTATGATGTCACCGAGTGAAGCGCAGACAGAATCAGCAGTGGTGAATGGGAAAGAGTGTGTTGTGAATGAAGAGAAACCGGTTGAGGAATGAAAGTTTGAAGACCAGTTCAGTTTTTTTTACCTGCAGTATAACACAAAAGTCCAAATCACAATCTGTCTCAAAGTCTTAATGTGTTTTGACCAAATAAATTTTCATTTCGGTGTGTGAACATATTTTTGGTCTTGTTTCAGCTTGATTTGGTGATGCTAGCACTAGTAAAAAATGCACTTATTTTAAAGTCAGCGTGAAATGCAAGATATGATTGGGACCATTTCAAAATTCCCAATTACCCTGCTATGCATAAACAAACAATATAAACATTCCTTTTAAATTTCAAATTAAAATATTGTCATTTAAAGCAATTCTACCACATATTGGAAACTGGTCAAAAAAAAAAAAAACATACACACACCTTGTCTCAAAAAAAAAAAAAAAAAAACAAGCAATATATCATACCAAAATAAGACTAATTTCGTACAGGACTAACAGCGCAACCTGTGCATTAGAATAATTCTTTTATTTACTTTCCTTGGCGATGACGTAATGATAACGTATTTATTTTTAGTTGCGTAAAGCCTAAATAAAAATGGTGTTTTGGAATAAAGATATGAGTTTGATCAAAGGTTTACGAGAACTGAAAGACTACAGTGCTTCAAGTTCCAAATAAAAAACTGGACAAAAGGTGGATTGGATTGAATTAATTGAGGTGGGGAAAAAAAAAAAAAAAAAAAAATATATATATATATATATATATATATATATATATATATATAATTTCACCTATTTTCCATATAATTACAAAATATAATTAAAGTTGGAGGTATTTTGACGAAATTCTGACAGAATTTTACGCGGTTTTATATATATATATATATATATATATATATATATATATATATATATATATATATATATAAAGTAAAATTTTATTATATATAAAGTAAAATATATATATAATAAGTTTATTTGTTGTGATTGAAAAATAGGGTTATTAGACCAAATATTTATGTTTTTTAAAAATTCAATACAAAAATAATAAAATACAAAATGATGATAATAATTAAAGTAAAATACAAATAAATATTATACAAATAAATACAAACATGTCGGGAAACTTTTATTTTCAAAATAAAAATGCTTTAAATGACAACATTTTTATTTTAAATTTGGAAGTTTAATAAAACAAAGTGCATCTTGCTCAAAACTAAGTGAATGAGGAAAAAAATCAGTGCTGGGCAGATTAATTAATATAAACTTTTAAAATAAATATAATTCATTAATATTTGGATAAAATTAAAATATTTAAGTTGGTTTTGACAATATATGAGTGTGTATGAATGTATCACACACACCTATATATATATATATATATATATATATATATATATATATATATATATATATATGTGTGTGAGTGTGTGTGTATAATGTATATAATACAAATTATATATATATTTTTTTTAAATGTCTATGCAATTTATGTAATGTATATCTTATATATATATATATTGACACGTATCTTATGTCAAAACAAACTTTATTTTGGATTCGATTAACCTTTGCCCAGCACACACAAAAAAAGTTATAAACACTGCAGTATTTCATATAAAAAATACAGATGGGCAAATAACTCACATTATAAGTCCCAAGAAAATTATATAATTTACCAAGAAAAAAGTACACTATACTGAAAATGAATTTTAGTTTTATTTCTTATTGCAAAAATAAAATTAAGACAAGAAATTGTAAATGAACTAGGTAACTATAACAATGTGCGTGACACCTTTCATCAGTCTTTCTCTCTCTGGATGATCTCGAGATCCTGGCAGTGTTGGTACAGTGGCTCTGAAGGCTCAGTCCAGGTGCATTCTGGTAGTTTGTTGAGATTTTCGAGAGGGAACTGAATGAGCGCGGTGTCATTAAACACATCCAGGAATCGCGACGAGCAGGACAGCGGCGTCTCCTCACACACACCGATCATCTGCAAACATCAGCTCAGTCAAGGAAACATCTAAGGGTGCTTTCACACCTACACTTTTGTTTCGGAACGTGTCTCGTTTGCCCAGTTAGCGCGGTTCGATTGGCATATGTGAACAGGGCAATCGCACTCTGTTCCGCGCCAAAGTAATCGCTCCGAGATCGCTTGAGTGAGGTGGTCTCGGCTCGATTGAAACGAACCCTGGAGCGGTTCGATTGCAGTGAGAAAGCGATCCGATCCGAGCGCGGTTACATCACAGTGTTTTATGGATATGTAATAGGCTTACGGCTACATGAAGAGAGAATTATGAGTAGCGCGGGAAGTTTCGCGAGTCTCCAGATGCCCGCAAACGAGTGATGATCTCCGGGTAATCTCGCGTCTCTCTCCCAGTCCTCAAATAGGCATCGTCGCGCATCCTTCTCACCCCTCCCCACCGTGTCTCTCCTCAGACACGTCACGCGCGCGCACCCTGTCAATCACCACCAAACCACCACCTCCTGACAGCTGAGCGGGACGCTGCAAAATAAACCCTGACACTCTGACCAATGTAAGGAGAGTTTACTCGCACGTGACTTGTTTTAGCTCGTTTGGTCCGTTTAGAAACTTTGCAGTCTGAAAGCGAACCGCTCCAAGAGCAAAGAGCAACAATGTAACAATTTTAATCTCTGTTTCGGAACAACTGAATCGATTCACAGGTGTGAAAGCACCCTAAAACTCTCATTTACAAACACAAACTCTTATAACACTTAGTTAAACAGTATAACAGTTGTAATTATAAGAGTTTCATAAGACATGGCATAGATACAACATGTCATTCCAAGGTGAATGACGTTGCATTTAAGTAAAATGTATTATATAACACCTTTCACAGGCAGAAAGTCTCGAAGTGTTTTACAGGAAATGAAACGGGTTAAATTCAAGTTAAAACAGCACAAACGTGAATATTTTGAAACGCTTCATACATTTGAAGGCAAGGATACACGTGAAAGGAAGCTGTAGTCTCTCTCCAATTCCCGTTGAAGCATCCTAAGAACAAAATCCATCATGAATGAGACTAAACTTGCACAATTTAACCTTTTCAATAACAGCATACTGTAAACTGCACGCTGCAGATCACTTGCTCCTACCTCTCTTGAATGCCATTAAAACTGTTGCCAATGATAGTCATTTTTTGCAATGTTCGAGGTGTCCAGTTTCTCCACAGCAAGTTGTTATACAGCGCCTTCCCACAATGCATCAGGTAGAACAGGGTGGGTTGATAAACAGCTCGCTTCCCTTCCTGTTAAAGCAAAGACGAAAAAAGACATAAAAACAAATCTGACAGAAACAAATGACTCTTTATGATCATGGATGAGTGGTGCACCTCATTTTCAGTCAACACCGTGAAGCCGAGCTCTTTGAGAGCATCACACTCTGATGGGGAAAATACAGGATCATACACACAACAACTGCTCACGGGAATCTGGAGGAGATTGAAAAACATCTTAAAGGGACCATATTATGCCTCTTTTTACATTAAGTAAGTCTCTGATGTCCCTAGAGTGTGAAGTTTCAGCTCAAAATATCACAATTCATGCATTATAACTCTTTGAAACTGACCCCTTTAGACTTTGATCCTAATTGTTCCGTTTTGGTGATTGTTGCTTTAAATTCAAATAAGATTGTGCTCTTTTCAAAAGAGGGCGGAGCTACAAAAGCCTGTGTGTCAGCATAGCGGCATATTCAAAAACAATATTAATGTTATCTTTTTGAAAAAAATGAAAATGTCAGAAGAAGGCAGTCTATGAAGATTCCAGTGTTCATTTGTGCATCCTAAAACTCCACATTTTTAATCCTCTAAATCACTGACATTGGGCTCTATTTTGATGGTCCATGCGCAAAACGGAAAGCGCAGGGCGCAAACGCTTTCAGGGCGTGTCAGAATCCATATTTGCTAATTTAAAGATGGGAAAATGCGCTTTGCGCCATGGCGCATGGTCTAAAAGGGTTGAGTTTATTTTCTTAATGAGTTATAGGTGTGTTTTGAGAATAAACCAATTAGAGTCTCATCTCCCATTCCCTTAAGAGTCCGTTGCGTCGCACCATAAGCGCATTTGCTATTTACAGGACGCAAAGTAAGTGTAAGTGGAAAAACTGAGCATTTCACTAGCAAACAGTTAACAGTTACAGTTTTTTAACTGAAAACAGTTAAACAGAGCACTATCGCGCAAGAATGAGAGATAATCTCGTGGATAGGGAAACCTTTATGCACAGACATCAATTAGCCTATAAATAATTAATTTAGTTTGTTAAGTGCAAATATTAGTTTCAAAACTATTTCTAAATTCAGTTCTAATTTCCAGCAAACGAATAAATGAACAATAATAACAAAATGTGCTCAAAAACCTGAGTTATATCCTAAAACACATGCTGTGCCCCATATGATCTAAAACCTGACAGGTGGGCAAATCTAAGCTTGTTTTTAATAAAACAAATATAAATATGGATATAATAAATAATACTGCTAATAATAATAACATTATACAAAAGCAAATTGTTATGAATGAACTGAAAAAGCCTCCCGAGATGAAGAAGACATAAAAGCAGTGATTTTTTATATTTATACAGGCTAGAAAATAATATGTTTTGTAATATTTTAATCCTTTATATTTATATCCTATATCTATTCTTATTATATCCTATTTATAAATCCTTAATACTTAAATTTTTCATATGTAAAGGTATTTGCGTATTGCTCTACATGTTGTGTGTAGGCTATTAAGCAGTAAGCGAGGCGCAACTCTGCGCTGGAGTTTAGTCCGGGTTAGTTTTGGTGTAATGAAAAATCTATTATAGTTTCTCAAAATAGCGACGCGCCAGCGGTCCGCCTCAGAACGCCTCCCTTTTTAGACCAGAACACCTATGGGCGCACATATGAGAGCAAATGCATTTGCTATTTAAAGAGCACGGCACAACGCCTCAAAACCACTTTTGCACCAAGCTGAAACTAGCAAACAAGTATTGCGCCGCGCCTTGCACCAGGTGAATAATAGGGCCCATTATCTTCAGCATGTGAAAACTAATGGCTGACGGCTGCTTCTCACCCAGGGCTGTCTATGCTAATGAGGGAGAGATAGTCACTAATGAGCGGAGCTTTCCCCCGTTGATGACATGTACAAAGAAAAAATGTCAAAGTGTTTCTTGTTGTTATCAAGTGTGATTATAAAAATTTTAAACACCATTAGAGGCTAGTTATATTCACACACTGTTGCCACACAACTGTGTTTAAACCCCTTATAAAAGTGTTTTTTGCATGATCTTAAAGAGGGCCTCCCTTTAAGATGAATGAATAGTACCATTTAAATTAAAGATGTATACCTGCAGTGTTTCTAGAAGCAGCAACAGCATGGCAAGTTGAAATCGAGCTGATACACAAGACTCAAAGTGACCCAAACCATAACAAACACACTGCAGAAGAGACGCATCTTCACTCTGCTCTGAAGTGCTGGAGAGAAGACGCTCGCAGAGGAGATCTGAAGGGGTAAGACAGACATGAGGTGATTAATTAAAAGCTGAACACTTGCATTTTAACATTTATATGAACAGTACTGCTGCTTAATATGTTTTTGAACCATACTATAGTAAAGTGCATTATACTTGTAGCGGAGGCCAGCTTGCGAAGTGCTGTGCAGGTAAACCTCACTCTAACATTTAAAGATGGTCTAGTGACAGACGCTAGAGGCCATGCTTGCTAGAGCCTCCCTGTTAGAGCAACTGACTCCCATACAAAGAATCACCAGTTCGATCCTAGCTCAGAGCGGGTTGGGTGCTGTAGCACTGGTGGGTTATACATGGCAATAGTATCTGGATGCAGCCTTTAAGATGCAAGCTGAGATTGCATCACTCAGCGATGCAGTGTCAGCCACAATGCACTCAAATAGAGCTAGTGACGTCACTGTGATGGGTACACTGTAAGGGTGTCACGATCCTCCAAATCCTTGATTCGATTACATTTTCGATTCTGAAGTCACGATTCGATTTTCGATTATGAATAATTAATTAATTAATGACCAATTAATTATTTGTAGTCTACCGTTTAAACTACCTGACTTGCATGGTCTTTGTTTTACCCATAAACAAATCATACAATAAATGAATAAAGGCAAGATACACACATATTTACCACCTGTCAATCACTTTTTTCTGCGGGACTTGTGAATAGGCAGTGATCTGTGTCGTTATAATGGCGTCGGTAAAAAAGGTGCACAACCAACAGGAACCAGCCAACAGTATCTGAGGTGTTCGCTAAAATGACAAAGTACTTGTGTAAAAGTAAAGATTGAAGCAGTCTACTGATCCGCTGACTGCCTTGACCCGCTGTCTCGAGCGCATGACTGTGTGTGTGTGTGTGTGTGTGTGTGTGTGTGTGTGTGTGTGTGAATGAGTGGGCGGTAGTGAGGAAGGAGGGCTGCTCAGAAATGCTATACGCCAGTGTGGATGTGGATCGTTGTCGTTCTAAAATGCCATTTAAAAACAAAGACAAATTAGTGTAAACACGGCCTGAGGGTGTATTTTTCGCGAGCGGATTTGCAACGGGTGCGGGGAGGAGGATCACGATGCGCCCATCGTCTATCGTCCCAACCGTAATACGTACATAGCAGAGCTTGCAAACAGTTTGTTTTTTTTGTCGACAACACGAACGTTGTCAACATAACTCACTGGAAATCCAAAATGCTTCCACACCGGCGACTTCATTGAAAGAGGAGAGGGTTTAAGCTCTGTCGACGGGTCTCCTGCGTCAGCAGTTTAACAAGCACTTCAACAAGCCTGTTTTTTTTCCGCTTGGCAAGCCAAGCTGACGTGACATGGGGGCGTGGCAGCATCAACGATTCTATTTTTTGATTCGATAATCGAAATTGAGCATAAATTTCAATCGATTTCGATTTAAAATCGAAATCGTGACACCCTTAGTACACTGCAAAAAATGCTTTTATTTAGATTTTTTGTCTTGTTTCGAGTCCAAATATCTAAAAATTCTTATATCAAGAAACATTTTCAGGGCAAGCAAAACATATTGTCTTGTTTTCAGAAATAATATGCCAATATAAAGGGAGTTTTTCCTTGAAACAAGCTAAATAATCTGCCAATGGGGTAAGCAAATCAATCTTGTTTTTCCTTTTGACATTATTGATTATTTTGCTTACTGTTGGGGAATTCATTGTGTCCTGATGAATTTCTGATGAATGTATTACTCTCATTTATATGTTTATTTGAGTGATTTCAGTATTATTATTGTTATTATCTATTGTATTATTACTCATACATGCAGCATTATTATCAGGTATGTGTGCTTTGGTGCTTTGGTAAATAAAAAAGTCATTCTGTGTAAATGCAGTCAGAGATGAGAAGATAAATGAGAAGAGCAGCATTAATGTCACAATGAGGGCTGATTTATGGAAGCAAGGCTAAAAGGACACCTGCGTTCTGTTCTGTAACTCATGATAAGGCACACCTGCACGTGCGCCCACACTCACTTGTACTGACATCTAAAGAATTATGAGTACATATGAACTTCAGCTGAACTTACAGTTGACAGCTTCGTGGACAGTGAACAAGATATATTGTCGAGCATTGTTTTTTGGCTGAGTCAACACTTTTGAAACGGGAAGGAAAGACCTTAACTGGACATGGGGAAGACCCCTGAAAGACCCTGAGATTCTATTGGTGGCGGGCACCTGAGAGATTTAAGAACCCATTAGTGGAGAAGCTAATGGAGGTGTGTAATGTGTAAATTTGGGTGGAGTATTACGACAGAAATGTATTTAAACTGTGTGCAAGCCTATGTTCAGCAGTCACTTGAACAACCTGTCTCTGTTGTTACTGATGCTGTAACAATAAACTGCTTCGTCTAAAGACCTCGGAGATCTCAGACTTTGTCATTTTTTGAAAAGTTTGACTTAGAGACTTAGAATATTTTTGCAGACCTGAATCTTTTTTCCACAACATTACCCCATTGGCAGATTATTTAGCTTGTTTTAAGGGAAAACTCGCTTCATTTTGGCATATTATATCTTAAAACAAAACAGTATGTTTTGCTTGTCTAGAAAATTCTTCTTGATTTAAGAGTTTTTATATATTTGGATAAGAAACAAGACAAAAAAATCTAAGTAAGAAAAGCATTTTTTTGCAGTGTAGGGTTAGGGGTGGGGTTAGGTGAGCCCATTAAAAGCATTGGATGCAGCTCAGATTGCACTGGATCAGGTCTGCATCCAGACCCCTCTCTTTTATCGGGGCTCGTCTGGGATGGGAGTGAGGTTTAGGGGGGTGAGTGTAACGGAGGCCGGCTAGCGAAGTGCTATGCAGGTAAACCTCACTCCTCTTGACGTTTAAAGGAGCGACAGATGCTAGAGGCCATGGTCTTTAGCCTCCTTGGTAGAGCAACTGACTCCCATCCAAAGAATCCTAGCTCAGACCGGGGTGGGTGCAGTAGGTACAGTGGGTTACAGGTGTATATATTAAAGCATTTTACAACTCTCCGTTAATGAATTTTACGGCATACTGTAGTATTAACTACCCTGAACTGATAAACTGTAATAAATGCTGTAGAATACTTTAGTTTTTACTACGGTAAACTGTGGTGTGTTGTAGTGCGATACATAATTGTAGAAAATATATTAAAGATTTTATATAGTTGTATTTCTATAGGGCAGCGCGGTGGCTCAGTGGGTAGCAATGTCGCCTCAGAGCAAGAAGGTCGCTGGTTTGACCCCCAGCTGGGTGAGTTGGCATTTCTGTGTGGAGTTTGCATGTTCTCCCCTTGTTTGCGTGGGTTTCCTCCGGGTGCTTCGTTTTCCCCCACAGTCCAAACACATGCGCTATAGGTGAATTGGGTAAGCTAAAATTGTCCGTAGTGTATATGTGTGAATGAGTGTGTATGGGTGTTTCCCAGTAATGGGTTGCAGCTGAAAAGGCATACACTGCATAAAACATAAGATGGATAAGTTGGCGGTTCATTTCTCAGTGGCGACCCCTGATTAATAAAGAGACTAAGCCGAAAATAAAATGAATGTATTTCTGTAGCAGCTATATATATCATTACCACAGCATATTAAATCAAGTTCATTCATTTGTCTTGTCGGCTTAGTCCCTTTATTAATCCGGGGTCGCCACAGCGATCAAGTACTTTACTATAATACAGTAAAAAACACAGTAATGTTTATATGATATTACTATAGTTTTCTATTTTGTGTGGATAGCTGTAATTCAACACCTTTCCATTCCATCCAGAAGGTTTCTCCTCTCAGTTCATTCCTGTAAAGGAGAATGAACATTTATGAGTTTATAAAATACTGTTTTCAGATGCTAATGTCACAGTACTGAATAATTACCAGATTTACGTAGTTTCTTATTAGCATGGCCCCTGCTGAAACATCCAGCTTAAACCAGCCTAGGATGGTTGGCTGGTTTTAGCTGGTCGACCAGTCTGGTTTTAGAGGGGTTTTGGCCACTTAAAGGCTGGTTTTAGCTGGACAGGCTGGGAGATGACCAGATAAAACCTGCTTGACTAGCCTAGCCAGGCTGGGACCCCAGCCAAAACCAGCTATGTCCAGCTTAAACCAGGATGGTCAAGCTGGTTTTAGCTGGTCACTTTCCAGCCTGACCAGCTAAGACCAGGCTGGAAATGGCTGAAAACCAGCCTGAAAGGGGCCAAAACCCCTTTAAAACCAGACTGGTCGACCAACTAAAACCAGCCAACCATCCAAGGCTGGTTTAAGCTGGATTTTTCAGCAGGGGGGACTATGATATATGCTAAAATACTATATTATTTAATCTAACCGTGTCAATACTTGGATTGTTCAAGCGTAATAAAAGCAGATAGACCCTCACATGCCGTGTATTATCTTCTGTTGGTCTATTTTGCAGTCAGAATCCTGCTGAGAGTCTAGTTTTGGGTTTAACACTTGTTTTCCTCTTCTTGCAGCTCCTTTACGACGCCCTGCGACCTGCCAGCCTTCATTACAAGCCATTACTGCAAAAACTCCTCAAAACTCAGACGATTTTACAGTCAGACGGCTCGAAGTGCTTCATCAAAAAAGCAAGAACTATCCGGCCTCCTTATAAACATATTTTGTATTTTATAGGTGTGAAAATTCTCTTATAAAATCGTTCATATTTACACCGAACACCATATGAGTGTTTTGTGTTACATATAAATGTTTCCGTTGGAACGCTGTTCTCTGAATTTTCAGTTCCTTCCCTACTAGATTTTTAACTTATTCGCTAAACATAATAGCATTTGTTTACTTTCGATAATTAAATGTCTGTTTATGCCAACTGTGTCGTTAACATTATACAAACATGTTTTTAAAAATTCCATATATTCCAAAAACTCTATATACAGGATAGTTTGCTGTTTTTACATTATTGTTGTTAATATTATTGGTTGTTTATAGTGTACTTTCTGGCACTACAAATCATGAAACTATCATGATCGACTCCTTTCAAAGATGTGGATTGTAAAAAAAGATGTGGATTATACACGATAAAAAAATGCTGGGTTGTTTTAAGCCAATCTTTGTCAAACATAGAGAAACACAACTGTTGGGTCAATTAGTGTCATTAAAATTTATTTTTTTCCCTTTTAAACTTTATGAAGAAGATAAGGTAATTATCCTGGCTGCACATTGATTATATCAGAGTTGCCAACTCTCACGCATTTGGCGTGAGAGTCACGTAATTGACCGTATTCTCACGCCACACATCACTTTTCTCACGCAGTAAAATCATCTCCGTGAAATATTTATTCCGTTACAATAAAGACGGTTGTAAAGACGTTTATCATTATATAAAGATGTTATTCTCTCTGTGGAACCGAACCAACACTGGTGAAAGCAATAATCAAAAACAAACTGACGCATGCGCGCAGAAAACATACCAGCGCGCCTCTCGCACCGCTCCTTTTTTATTATACAAAATAAAAATTAAATGTAAAAAAAAAAAAAAAAAAATATATATATATATATATATATATATATATATATATATATATATATATATATATATATATATATATATATATATACATATATAAACAAAAAAGTTAGCTATGTTATTTAATTATAAAACTACAAAAAATTTAAAAACTTTATTATAATAAAAAACATAGACCTACACATATATAAATAAATACTAAAACTAACTAAATAAAGCTATATAGAAATATTAAAAGAATTAATGTTAAATGTTAAAATTAAATGTAATTATATTAAATGTATATTCATAGAATTTATATTTATAAAAATAAACCGAAAAACATTCAAATTTTACAAATCACAATAAAATAATAATTTAGTTTAAATTAATTGATTTTATTATTTACATTTATACATACATATATACAATTGAAATAATACCGGTCTGCATTATGAACGAGTCAGTGACTCAGCAGGTCAAGAACTTTCAGAATGAATAAAATGTGTGCCTTTTAAAACTTCCCTTTGCTGCCACAATGTGAAAGCAGATGCCAAATAATAATTTATAAATAAATGCATTGCACAAATATCTTTAACTTCATCTCATAGCTTATTTATTAATTTAAGTATATGTCTTAAACTCAAACATTTCTCACCTTTCTACGACAAATCTGACGAGAAACACCTAAGGGGAAAAACCTGAGGCACTACTCGAAGCTCTAAAAGATAATATTCACCAAATGAAATGCAACCGGAGCAGTTTTGTGGACTCTCTCTGTCACTCATTATCCTGTTCTCTCCTGTCATGCCAAAATAAATGAAAGCCCGTCTGGCAGCGTCCACTCCAGCCATAACTCACCCTATATCTGTTGTCAAGCATCTAAAAATACAGCTCCTGAGATGAAGAGCATCTGACAGTCAGGGCTAAAGATGAAACTTCTGCTCAGACAATGATCTGAGGACAGCAGCGATGTTTACGAGCGAGCTAAATGCTGCATTGTGTAACTCAATGGTAGAGACGCCACTGTTACTTCATATGTGCTTAAATATCTCTCTGAAATCACGCAAAGACTTTCAAAGTGCGTAAAAGAGTAAGAGTTGAGCATGATACGACGTGAATACTAGTTAGCGCCCATAGCTTTATACATTAGATGTCGCCTACCCTGGTGTTGTCTATTGGAAGGAATGCGTCAATAGAGCCGCCATTTTAGTACAGGGTAGCGCTCCTTTGAAATGAACGCTTTTACATGAACGCCATCTAGCGGTCACATAACCTAATGACTAAATATCATGACAACTTGATCAACTTCTTTTATAAATATATATGATTTGACATTACTTTTTTTCTCACCACCACACTGGTCTTTTTCACAAGACAAAATTTTGTTGTTGGAAACTGTATTTTATATACTTAAATTTGACTTTTGCATGCTAAAAGTTCTTGAGTAAGAGACGTTTTACTTGATATGGGTCGTTAAAAAAACTCCCTATGATGGATGTAGCCTATACCTGCTGTAGTCAACCTAAAACCTACAGTAGGTTGACATAAAACCAAAACAACACCCATTTCTTGTCTTAGGACATTTTATTTGGCAAATTTTAAAATAACTAAGTTTATGACATGTTAAATATATAGTATAATTTGCTGGTTTTAAACATACAGAATAACAATAATAAATATAGTTATGAAACAACCATAACATAACACCAAATGTTGACTAATGAAGGTGCATTTATAACAACTATTTATTTGTAAGACTACTATTGTCAAACCATGTTGCACACAAATGCATTCAACAGACTTATATGACAGTGCATTGCTGTAGAGGAAAAATAAAACACGAGACAGGTGTTTAGAAAGAATATAGTTTATTTAGTTTGACATGCAAACTTATCTAAACAAGACACACTTTCAGAAATGCGCGCGCTTGTGAATATAACCCGCGGTTGTCTTCATTTGTTGTCTTCAATAGTCCTTCTTTGCTCAACAACTCAGCTGAAAAACAAAGCAGATCATTACTACAGTCGACATAGAGCAAAGAGCATAGAATTACCAAGAGGCGACACTCTACAATTTGGGAAACAATACCGCGCTTTTTGAATACATTAAATAAAAACAAAGCAGCTGCTTTCCATCGCGACAGCAATGACGAGCGATCGCTATCACTTCAAAATGGCGGAATCCGGGTCTGTTGCTCTTGGTCATTCTAAGCTCTTTGCATAAAGTTAAATCATAACAGTTACCATGGTTTCTATTTCAAACTACAGTAAACTAAAGTTTGAAACTATAGTTTAAAATAGAAGATAAGTGGGCCTCGCTTTTCCCACCCACCATAACCCTCGCAGCGAGGTCCCACTACCGGCCCCCCGTGTTTCCCTGAGGGTCCTCGGGGGTTGTTTGCTCCCTGCCTAGGGCTCAAAGGCCGCCTCGCCCCAGGGAGTGCACGAGAAGACCGGGCGCCAGGCCGTGCCAGTATTCACTGGATGTTGCTCGGCGGCACATTTCGAGCAACAAACACGTAATGTTCTTCGCGATATTGCGTTTATGTACGCAAACCGCAAGGAACTACAGCACAGACGGGACTTCGTGAGATTGGCGTGGGTCCACTCGTAACGTCGGTATTGAACTTACCTTGGTCAAGTACAAGCAGCTACACCGGGCGAACTGACAACGCTGACAGAAAGCGCACGAGCTTTATAGGAATGCATATGCAAATTGTTACAAGGCACGTCACTGTTGTCTCGTTGTCATGGCGAGCGCTGAAGAGGGCTCACCTGATTGGAGCACACAGATTCAGGAATCTGCGTCACGGCAAGTTGCCGTCTGCTGTGGACAAAAATATATTAAATATATTCAATATATATTTTTACATTTTTGGTGCTGTGTAATAATCTGAGATGCAGTAGATTATGGAGACAGATGAATGTAATTGGATATATGCCGAGCTAGTGTTGTTCCCATACTTATAAACTTACGGTGAGCGGTTATTGTGAGTTTTTTAATATTATATTATATTATATTATATTATATTATATTATATTATATTATATTATATTATATTATATTATATTATATTATATTATATTATTATTAAAGTTGAAAAACAATACAAATTGAGAATGAAAACAGACTGACCCGCGCTTGTGTTGTTTGTCGGACACTAGAGGGCGCGCGCACTCGCTTCTTTCCCGCTTCGAGGAAATCTGAGGAGATTTTGTTTATACAATTTATACTCTAGATTAACTAAAGTTTCCTTTTAAAATTAGGTTTTTTTGAAAGAACAAAATATAAGTGTTGTCAAACTTTATCGTCTAATCTTCTAGCGGCAAATACTCTACAAGGAAAAATAAAATGAAGTGTGTCATCGAGGGTAATGGCATTAAAGGTAGATTATGACCATTTTATTCAGTAATATCCAAGTAAAACGCCATTAGCCGTTTTTAATTAGTGACCGATGTTACATTATTTGTCTGTTTTCCTTTTTTAAGTCTTTGGCAGAGCAATTCATGCTCTGTCAAGAATTGGCGATGAAATATGGTTGGATCCACTGGAAGATGGGGTTAGTATTGTTGTTAATCTTCAGTATTTACGATTATTTTTGTTTGATAAAGATGTATTATTAGACTAACGTTATTTATAGGTAACATTAACCCAAAATAGCAACACTTTATGTCTTCATCACTGTGTAACTTAGTTAATGTAACATGAAGAAATAATAAACAAATTACACTATCGCCCTCCTCAAATGTTGTAAAAAAGTCTTTAATTATTAGTTCATGTTAACTCATAGTGTGTTGACTAATTTTGCATGCACATGTTGGTTAATAAATGCTGTGCATAATACATTAACATTTACCGATTAAACCTTATTGTAAAGTGTGACCATACATACTGAAAAAAAGAAAAATATATATACAGTTGAAGTCAGAATTATAAGCTTCACTGAATTATTAGCCCTTTGTTTATTTTTTTTCCCAATTTCTGTTTGACGGATAGACTATTTTTTCAGCACATTTCTAAACATGCCTCATTTCTAATAACTGATTTATTTTATCTTTGTCATGATGACAACACATAATATTTGACTAGATATTTTTCAAGACTCTTCTATACAGCTTAAAGTGCCTTTCATTCATTCATTCATTCATTTTCTTTTTGGATTAGTCCCTTTATTAATCCAGGGTCGTCACGAATGAACCGCCAACTTATTCAGCACATTTTTACGCAGCAGATGCC